ATGAAAATCATGCCCTGGTGCTCCAGTGGGGAACCAGTATGATCTGCATCTCTTGCTGGTGCAGATCATACTGATCGCTCCCTCGTGGTGCTGCCACTGATTGTCAGGGATCGATTAGTATGGTCTGCATCAGCCTGAGATGCAGATCACACTGATTCTGCACTGGACCACCAGGATAATCCACAACACTGGACCCTAGGACGCAGCCCCCCTCCTGCAAAACAGGTAAGCAGGAGAGGGGGACATTTTTTAATTAACTTTTTATTTTTAATAATTGTATGAGAGTGTGTGTGTTTTTTTTTTAATGAAGCTATGTGTGTGTTTTTTTTTTAAGGAGTGTGTTTGTTTCATTATGTGTGTGTGTGTTTTTTTTTAACCACTTCCCACGGGTTCACATAAATGTACGTACTCCGCTGAGAGTGGTTATACCAAGAACACGGCTGCCCCTGTTCACACCACTTGTAGTGCGTTTCGGGATGATTCCGGCAGGAACGCACTGCATCGCACTACAGCCGACTCACTTTTTTGACGGGCAGGAGGCGGCGTGGCGGGCCATTGTAGTGAATGGTGCCATTGCCACAGCCTACGGCCGCACGGGATCGCAGGGCACATTGTGCCTGCGGCCAGGTGTGGTCAAAATGCTGCAAGCACTATTTTAACTGCACCGGACTGCAGGCACAATGTGCCCTGCCATCCTGTGTGGGCGATCGCATTGCGGCCGGAGGAAGTGGAAAACTGCGCAATTCATTACAATGGCCCGCCACGCACCCTGCTGCCCGGCAAACAATTGAGCCGGCCGCAATGCGATGCAGTGCGTTCTGGACGGAATCTGGCCGGAACGCACTGCAAGTGATGTGAACAGGCCCTTAAACAATAGACAATTACTGCTTAAATGCAAGCGATCCGGCATCTGTATAGGCGCTGGATTACTTGTATGGTGCGTTGCCGTGTCCCCCTCCGCAGCTGCCAGTGCAGCTGTCAGCTTCCCGGGCTCATCTGTTCCTCATGTGAGGCCTTCCGGGCTCACACCAGGGACAGATGAGCCCTGGACCGGTGTGGAGGGGCTCTAAGACCCCTAATGTCACCTGGGGACCCCCAAAGAAGCTGATGAAGCCGAGATCTGCTTCATCAGCTTTTTCTCTCTGGCAATAGCAGCCAGATGACTGACAGGTGAATGCGGAAGTGATATAATACACATCATTGCCGCATTCACACTATGGAGGGAGTTCAGCAAGGAGGAAGATGCTGATCTCCCTCCCATCTTGCTCCTGACACCCTTCCGAGCTGGTCCCGGGCCACAGATGGGGCAGCAGATCCCGGGATTGAAGGTGAAGGTGCAGGAGGGGAGTCGGCGGCGGCATTCTAGGTGGGGGAGGGGGGCACGCAGCCACAAGATACAAGCGATTGGCGGCTATAGAGCCGCCTAATGTTTGTATGTCAATCAGCCGGTAACGGCTCCTCAGAACGGACAGGTTTTCTCTGCCCATGCACGCACTACGGGGCGCCTACAGAAAAAAAAGCTGTCTTATTACGACAACCCACCAATGTGAGTTTGCTGTCCGTCCATTTTTTCACAAAGGGCGGACGGCAAGCAGCTAAGGTCTCCCGCTCCCCACGTCCACGCACATACAACGCAAGCATGTTATATATCGTAATGAGAGTCAGAGTGAGAGCAATAATTCTAGGCCCATCAATAACTATTAGCCCTAAACTGATGAGCCATAAAAACAATAAAAGCGTTGTCTATGGGAAATTTTGGATATTGTAGTTTTTTGCGGTTTCACAGATTCACACAATTTTAAGGCTTGACATGTTTGGTATCATTTTTGTGTATTTTATCCTAAAAATACTTGATGGATAAACATTTGTGCAAATACCGTGCTACATAAAAACTTGCAGCTAGTATGTTTTTATTCTAGCCTCTGCTTTTCAAAGCCTCTGCTTTCAGAAAATATATAATTGTTTGGGGGGTCTGAAGCTGTTTTTCTAGCCAAAAATTCAGATTTTATCACGTGTGTGCAAATGTAAGAAATTGCTCTGGGCAGCAAGTGGTTAATGAGCGCATGATTTGTGTGTTTAAATGAGTGTATAAATGTTTGGCAGTGGCAGTGATACTGAACATTTTTTAACCCCGAGCGCCCAAGCTGCAACACAATACTAAAGTTTTTTTCAATGTTGGCACTTTGAGATAAATAAATTGATTTTGCGTCGCAGTTTGGACACTCGAGTTCAAAAACATTCACCATCACTATCCTAGTCTGACTGCGGCGCAGGCGAGTGCCCAGAGGTAGGGGAGGAAGGGCTGTATATACAGGGAGGCCAGGCCTACTGCCCCAGTGGCTGCACAAGGGCTCGAGGCTGGGGGACCCACTGAGATCTGGTCCGGGGGCCCCCCACTTCTGCCCCTGGTGAGAACTTTTTAGTTTTTAAAGTTTATTAGCACTGGTAAGTAAATGTATCATGTATAGGGGCAGATTGGGTTCATGTAAATATCCGATTGGTTGTCGGGGCGACTGTTTACTTTTCTTATATTTTTTTTTTAGATTTTACAGCCTGTGTAAAGTTATGTTGTGTTATGTTTTGTGCATATGTGTTGTATGCTAGTCAGATGATATGGTTTTCTGTGGTTTGTAATAGACGTGTGCGGGGCAAACAAATTTGGTTCAGACGCAACAAATGAAAATGTAAAAATATTTGTATTTGTTTCATCAAATGAAACTAATTTTAATGCTGTTTCGGATTCAGAGGAAATGAGCCTCCGAAACCGCACAAAGAAATTGCAGATCGAGCGGTGGCCATATCGGCCGCTAGCGTGTTCTGCGCATGCCACTATTTTGGAGTATATCTTGGTATACACCAAGATGGCGGAACGGGAACATGTGGGTGCTGCCATCTTGGTTTATACCGGAGTCCAGCGCATCACTAAGCCCAGAGTCCAATTCATATACTGTTCTGCATTGCTGTATAAATGTATTGCTGGGATTTGTAGTCCCCATACAAGCGGTGCCATTCTGCATTAGAGTTTAAGCTCCTCTGTACAGAGACTGTGATGTGACAGGCTCAGTGTTCTCTGTACAGCACTGCGGTATCAGTCAGAGCTATATAAATGTATAATAATAGTGTGTGACTGTGGGAGGACATTAGACTGTCAGCTCCTCTGTACAGAGACTGATGTGACTGGCTCAGTGTGGCGGCGGTGGGGGGCGGCAGTGTGGAGGGGGGGGCCCAGACCTAAAGCTGTAAGGGGCCCCAAAATTTCTTATGGCTGCCCTGCCCACAGTGCAAGGGCTAAATGCTTGTTAAGTCTTGGATTAGAGGAATAAGGTGTAATATTTACCTTATTTCTTGCTCTGGTAGCCGGTGTGACCAGTCCCAAAAACCTCTTCTCTAAGGCTCTCACAGGTGGCGTGGACATCAAGTACAATGCAGGACCAATAGCCTTGCATTGGGTATGTGCATGTCCATAGTCTGGACAATTTAAAGGAGAACTATGGGGTTAAGGCTTTTCCCCATAGTTCTCCTTAGGGTAACGGGAGGACACAAACTAGCGTCCTCCCGTCACCCTAAGCTCAGTATACTGCGAGCTACTGAGCCGACCTGTGACAGTCTCATTGTCACAAGTTGGCTAGAACTATGAGGTGAGTGAAAAGCACTCACCTCATAGTTCTCCTTTAAAGCTGAATTTCATGCAGATATACAAAACCATGTAATCCAGATATCTGTACCTTAGACTAGTAACAGCCTGAAGTTTAATTGCAGCACTCAGGCTCTCCCATGTGTTTAAGGTGGAAGTGCAGATGGTTGACTTTATTCTTGTGTTCTGCTCCTTCATTGTTTAACAACATTGTGGAAGAGACTGGTGACCAAGCTGTAATATTTAACTGCCGAGGAAAAAGAGAGGTCACCAGCCTAGCCATGATACGTAAATGGAATAAGAGAACCTTTGTCAGTTAGAATAGTTAAAATTTAAGTAATTCATCTCTGCATTTAGCTGTCTTTTTGGAGTTCAGCATGAACCTTATTGCTTCAACTATTCCTGCTGCACCTGTATGCCCCCTATGGACCCCAGCATTTTGTACATTTTAGCTATGGGCTATAAGTCAGCAATTACTTTGTCATTACTTATGATATCATAGTAATACATATGCCATTTTTATGGTACAAACAAGACATTCTTTTGACAATAAAATTTACTTTTTTGCAGATGGTCTAGTGGTAGTTTTAAAACAATAAGGGGTCTGTTTATAACAATAATTTGCATAGCTATTCATCCAGCAAAACTGAAGGCATATTTGTTTTGTGCGAATTAACCATCTGTTGTAAAATCTGGTCAGAATCAGCAGGGTTATTCACAAAAGGGTGAAGAGTTTGGAGAAGGCAGGAGAAGTGAACAATCTAGGACAACATAGCTGAGCTGGAAAGTGTACTGAATTGGAGAATCTTTCCAAATCAGCTATGTTGTCCTAGATTGTGAATAACCTTCCAAATGTTAAGGCTATTTTCTCTTCTGGTATAAAGTTCTTAAATATGTGAATTGGGAAAATACTATATTATGGCCACTAGATGGAGCTGAGGATCATAGGAAATAAATACATATTGCTAGCAAGAGATGCAAAGTATAAATTCTAGAGAATACTGGAGGGAATTATCAAATACATATATCCATTGCTGCTACTAACGTATGTGCAAATTAAATAAATGTGGAGGAATCCCTGGGTGTACAAGGTGCACCAAAAAAAAGTTGTATGTTTCAACCCTGTACCGTTTTTCCTATCAGTTGACCATGCATCTTCCCTCACACACTCATCCTTCTGTCAGGAAGGGCAGGTAATTAGGACATTTTAAAATATATAAATATAGATTTAGATTAGCATAAAGTTAGATTACTTAGGTTTAATGATTTTAAATAAATACTTAACTGGACTAATTAAAACCTATGTTATTGCTGTCTGGAAGCCAACTCATTTTATTAAATGTGCCATCTCAAAACTTTGTTCAAGGACACAGGACGTTGTATGTGGGAGTCCGTATGCCACTGGGGCGGCAGAGTCATAGACATCATCGGACCCATGGGGGAAAGCACAAGAAACGGGATCGAGTGAAGGGTGTTATTCAAGAAGAAGGCCATGATGAGTCCCTAGCTCATGGTAAGGAGTGATCAGGATGAGTGTATACTGTATATAAAGCAGCTATAGACAAACAGCTATTAAACTGACCACTAAACTACACTTATGACAAGCGAGATAGCTGAAAAATGTGTGTAAAAGTACCCATACCTGTACAAAAACTGAAATATTTGTCCGTTTAGTAGAGATTTTTATTTGTATGTACCTGCTCTGTAGCCTGTTCTAAGGCTTTCAGTTTAAATGAGTTTTAAAAGCGACAGTTTTCCATTTTCTTCAAGGTGAGCCAGCCAACAATCTCTGAAAAGAGGTTCTGTACTGCTATCCAGTGCTCTGTTAGTGATTTCCCCTCATTTACTATCGCAATGACGGTTTAACGGTTTAACCTGGAAGTGATGGCAAATCTCCGGCAGCAATAAAGACTGAATTTTATTAGTTGCATAGGGAAGGCTGGGAACCCTGTTAGCTTTTTACTACTGTCTGTGCCCCTGTTGCAGATTTTCTCTCACTTCCAGTCTGGTGAAAAGTTTGTCACCGTGTCCGTAATTAAGGTAAAATCTCTTTAACAGAGTCCTGGTTAGCAGTAAAAACACGGCAAGGTTCTAATCCTTCTATAGAAGGATAGATCCTTCTATCTTGGGATAGAAGGATCTAATCATTCTATCCCAAGCTATAAAAATAAAGTATTTGCTGCACATGTGCTTTACACAATGTTGCTTCATGCATTTGTATGTTATCTAAACATACAGGGTAGCAAATCTGAATAATTTTGTGGTAATTATCCTTTTAGAGATCGTGCCAAATTCGCATTACCTGCCAAAATCACAATATTGCCCTGCACTCTCAGCAACATGACACTAAATAAAGGGATTGATTTCAGAGTCCTGGGACTGTTAAATATCATGGCGCACTATATTAACGTATAATCATTTCAAACAGAAATCTGCTGCTCTAAGATATTTGCTTTATATATTTCATCAGTGGTGCCAGATCAATAAAACTAAGGCTATTGTACAGAGTGTTATATGGTATTCATCAACCCACTTGTACATTGTGTTAATCTGGCCACATAACCTCACAACCTGATTGTACAACCTTCTTTAGATACCAACAACTATGTAGTGCAAGGACCCTACAACTATCCATATAATTTATATCCAATCAGATAGACCCCTGCACTGTAAATCTGAAGGAGACTACAATCAGATTGTAATGTTATGGACACATTGACAAATGTACTATTATGGGTCTAGTCTGGCAGATGGAGCATGCTTAGATGTAGTTCTTCTTACTTTCAGATATGTTTCAGGTATAAGTTGGTGGTTAAGGTTTTTATCTGAAGGTCGACTATGGAAACTTATAAAATGTTGACAGCATTGGTCAAATTGCTTGGGAAGAAGTGTCTCACCTACCATGATGGGAGGTTGGTCTTGGTTAAAAGCCTTCTGGTTAGCACTTTGTGGTCACTGGTTACCTCAAAGTGCAGACTGCCTTTAGTCTCGATAAAGTTGCTGCTTAGGTTTGGATAGCACTGCCAAAGAGCAGCGTATACTTGGTCTTGTAATCTCTTTAGTTCATTCAAGCCTAGATAGCAAAACTAGATACATTTAGGACCCATCAGAGGAACACAAGGATGGAGTGTTAAAGTCATCTAAACAAAGATTCTGGATTCAGCTTGAAGTTGAAGTGTGTCTGTGAAGAGGTTGCTCCATGCGAACAGTCAGCTCTTCCCATTCTCCCAGAGGATGTTCCTCTCTACCTGTAGTTTGATCTCAAGCCCAAGCAGACTTCAGCAAATTAGTCAATTCTAGGGGAAGGAGGATGAGGATTCTGGCAAAGCCTGGCTACAAAACAAATGCTGCTGCCATGGCAGGAGGCATGAGAATTTAAATTTTTATGGCACTTGCATAAAATCATAGCTGGTTGCACATTTAAATTAAAAGATGATTTTGAATGGCACTAAAGCTTGTACAGCAAAATATATATATATATATTTATAATGAAATTAAAAGAAAATGTCTACAACATTACAGAACAAATCCATTTGAATGTGACTAACTACAACTAGCTATACCATGAGGAATGGTATAGCTAGTTGCTATACCTGGAGGAATGAGAACCTTTACACCATCTGCGTTGAATCTGTGCTGTTTCCAGCGCAGCCCCCATGCAAGGCAAGGCAAATTGTCACAGATGGTGCCCATTCACACCACTGCATTGTGGTAGGAACGTGGTGGTGTGCACTGAAAAAAATTAAGGTATGGCTTATTTTTTTCACTGCGGCGGAATGTGATGAGGTACAACCGCCTCACACCCCGATGTGTCCGTAGAACTGAATGAAATGTCGCTCGTGCGATTTCAATAAAGTTCTAACAAAAAAAGGACATGGGATCAGTGCTTTGGCACTTTGACGTGCACCGCTCACCGAACGCTGTGCAGTTAGCGCAGTGCCTGGTATGAATTGGCCCTTACAGACATATAAAAATGTGCTGGGAAATTAGGTTTCAGAAAACAACTCTATGACTGATCTAATTCACACACAAAAGAGAGGAGCTATTGTTTGGTTCCCTTTAATTATAGGGTCTATATTAGCCATGACAATTTCTTAACATAATATTAGTTTCACTTTACTATGTACATACATTTTATGATGGCACAACAAATTATTACATGTACGGTATTCTGTTTCAGGTTTTTGAGATCTGATCCATTAAAAATTTTAAATAGCTAAAAAATGGCCAGGCTATGATTGCACGTAAAAGGAGAATTATGAGGCGAGTGAAAATCACTCAGCCTCATAGTTCTAGCCGACCTGTGACAATGAAACTGCCACACGTCGGCTCAATAGATCGGGAAGTGAGCGATCACATAGCGTCGCTAGCTCACTTCTCGATCTATCCCTGCAGAGAGCCGTGACTGTCACTCCCGCTCCATGCAGGGATTCCCCCCCCTGTCCGATCCTCCAGCACTGACTGGCGGAACGGACGGGGGAGGGGGCGGGCACAGCTGGCTCTGCCTCTAGATAGGCAGAGCCAGCTGTCACTCATGCAGGTGGGTGGATCTCGACAGTGATGTCGGCATCCATCCCGGCTGCACCGTCTCAGTATATGCGAGCTGTAGCTCGCGGTATACTGAGCTTAGGGTGACGGGAGGACGCTAGTTTGTGTCCTCCCTTTACCCTTAGGTGAACTATGGGGAAAAGCCATGACCCCATAGTTCTCCTTTAACAATTAAACTGTCCATTCACGAACAGAAGAAGAAGAAATGTACGTAGTTTAATTGGTCATTTAAAGGACTATTATCAATTCCTATATTATGCTGTAGGAAATGTAATAGAAAATTAGGCACAATTGAGGAAATGTATAAAGAAAATGTCTTCGAGCAGCAGGTTTCTCTTTGAAATGATTATACGTTTATATAGTGCCCCAATATAGTTGACACTCCCAGGGCTCTGAAATCAATCCCTTTATGTAGTGTCATAGTGCTGGGAGTGCAGGGCAATGCTGTGACCTTGGCAGCTAATTCGAGTTTGGCATGGTCTCTACGGTTATGGTTTGGCATGGTCATTTTTATTAATGTCCTTGTGAAGTAAGCTGCAAACCCAAAGAGCTGCTAGGAATGAACAGTTTCTTATTACAACAGAGCAAAACAAACACTAAGACTGAATGTATGGTTTAATTCAACGCTGACCCTCCCACTTAGCGCTCACTGTGAGAAATTACAGCAATTACAGCACTAATATGGCCTTTTGTGAAAATGTAATTTTTGAAGTGAGTAATGAATCATAATTGGTTTTTCCTAAATTTGTACAGTGTATATAATTGTTCTAAAGTAGATTTTCTCTCTCAACAAAACTAAAGGTTCAGTCTAAATATATTTGTCCTTTCTGCATAGAATAAAAGCATTATGAGATGTTGGTTATTAATTGAAAGTTGTGAGTAATTAAAGTATGTATCTCCTTTAATGAAGTCATTGTTTACTGGTACCCTCTGACATTGGTACATTTCCTACTGTCACTCTCTGCCTGTGTTCAAAAATGTTCTAAAGTATTGTCTATGTAAATTACTGAAAATACTTGCTGATATCTAATAAATGATGAATTATTTGCTAAAACTCAAAACTGTTATGATAAATGTACAGTAAGGGCTCATTCACACTGTAATCAGCCGGCACGTACAGCTCCGCGCTGTGTGCAGGGCCGTATCGGGCAGCTCCCGGGAAGGACAGGTGCTGCGTGTGATTAGTACGCAGCCCCCGTCCTTCTCTATGGGACTGCGTGGCTGTCCGCCCCCCTACACTCACCCGTCCTGCACGTCCGTGCGGGTGCCGGTGAGCATACTCGTACGCTGACAGGATGGATCCTTTCTGCGCCCGAGCCAGGAAACACGCACCCGTACTAGTCACACACAGCACCTGTCCTTCCCGGGAGCTGCCTGATACGGCCCTGCACGCAGCATGGAGCTGTACGTGCCGGCCGATTACAGTATGAATGAGCCCTTAGAAGGGTGGGAAGCCATGCTGTAGGTAACTTTTTTAGCAGATCAGTATTGATATGTGCCTTGTACGCTTCCCCCTAAATATGTATATGAAATGTTGAGAAAAATAGGAAAACTATATCACAGTTTCTCTGATAACAGCACTAACTGGCTTATCCTATAAAGCAAAAAAGTTAAGGGCAACATTACACGAATAGAATCATAAATAATGTATTTAGTAATTTGGACACAGTATACTAAAAAACATGTTTTAAGGGTTGCCATGCATATTATTATTGCACTCTCCAAAAGTGAATACTAACTTAAAATCATATTTTGCTGAAACTGCATTATCCTTCCAGTACACAAACTGAACAATTTTAATTTATAAAAAAAATAAAAGAAATATGATGTTTTCACAATTTTATAAGAACATAGGAATGAGTTATCTGTTACTGTGTTCAGTTAAGCTTCCCAATAATAAATCTCTTTGAGATCCACAGCACAAACTCCAGACAGTATCCATTACAGCTGTCTCTTTATTCCCATTGTGTGCCTTGTGTAAAGTCACCTTGTAATGTGTTATTAATGCAGACACCCCATCCCAGAGAGTGCAGTTCATCCTTGGAACAGAGGAGGACGAGGAACATGTGCCACATGAGCTATTTACAGAGCTGGATGAGATCTGTGTTAAAGATGGAGAGGATGCTGAGTGGAAAGAGACGGCAAGGTGATGTATTATCAGAAATATCTTCTATCTTACACATCAGTAAATAACTGGCTAAAGATCCTGCATGTGATTAACGTTTTACAGCCTTTGAGACCATGAAAACTAGGTAGACATCCGTTTTTCTTGGAAGGCATCTTCTGTGAAAGGTCCATAAATCAAAAATATGGGTTTCAATTACAGAACACAGGCATAGAACATACTGACATTCACCTAATAACACATCAAATATTGTGTGTGTGATAGTTAATGATGCTTGCAATAATGTTGGACAAACATGTGATCCCATGACCCAAAGTGATATCACATTTGATGTAATGATGTCATTATGCCAAATTCCATGACTACGTAGAACAAAAACATGCTCAAAGTCTCTGGCTTTTAGGCAGCCATTGTAAAAACAATGGTGAAACAGGTGTTTAATTCTACTACCCAACATGCAAATTCTGATTGGTCACATTTTGTTATGTTCCTAGCAATACAGAATCTGGGACACCCAGCAGGTAATTCCTATCCATATGCAGACTGTTAATAAAAGCAGCTGTTGGCTACATCTACTGAAGTCTTTCCCAACAAGGAATAATTATACTGAGTCCATAATTCACCTGTTAGGTTACAGTGTCATGGACCAAAGCGTGATTATATTATCATTATCACATGGTTGGAGTATCATTCTCCATCAGTTGCAGAGATATGCCCAGAGGCCATTTTTATTTACACCCATCTTTTCCCATCTAAAGCAATTATTCACCTTTATAAACATATGTAGCCTCTTTTCTACAAAAGCTATTCTAATTGTGCTTTTCTCTTGAAATGTTTTAAAAATATAGTTTAACTTGGTGCCTTCATTGGTACCAGCCATGTAATACTATACTCTCTCTACTCTTCTTCCATATATCCATGTGTTAAGCTTAAAATAAAGATGAACTCCAGGGAATACAAAACAATTACTCTTCCATTGAGTCCATCCCTTTACTGCAAGGGCTAACTGCTCGTTTTGGCTAGGGGATGATGAATAAGGTAATTTACTTACTTACATTATTCCTCATTTCGCTGGCAGCCAGTGCTTCCCTGGCAGCCTGTCCAATGTTCTGGGTTTTGAAAGGCTCTTGATAACCTAATATACAATGCAGGAATGTTGGCCCTGGATAGTACATGATGACGTCAGAGCTGTGACCGATCAGACAATCAGTAAAGTGGCTCTAGGAGACTGGTCTTACAGCATAGCAGAAGCCTGCAGGAATGAGGAGTAAGGAAAGCATATCACACTTTTCATCATCACGTAGTCCAAACGAGCAGTAAACCCTCGCAGTCAGGGTAATGTTTTTCTTCCCAAAAGATGAACTTTGAAGGGCATGTAAAGTGAAAACATGTATTTTAGTTTTGAATAGAGTGGTGAGCAGTTAGACCCCCTGTCAATATTTTTTTTGAAGTTTGTGTCTCCATTGGGGAAATATTTACCCCTTTTAATCTTACTGGTGACCATTGTCACTGAGACAGTGAAGTGAGGGACAAATCACGTGTCAGATAAAGAGGTGACGGTAAATCTTCCGAAAGGGACAGCTGCCCAAGAGGGGACCCCCCACGTTTTGCCGCACAGGAAGGTAAGGGAAATATCCAAAATGGTACTCAGACAGCAAGAACAACCTGATGTTAACCCTTCCCTATACTATCCAAAACAAAAAGAATGATCAGTGCACATGTTGAGAGATCTCAAGAAATGTTTATAGGATCTAGGACAGACTGAGCCAGGAAGGAAGAATGTTCAGTTAGTTTTTATTTATCAGCTGTAGTATCAATTCATGTTGATAATTCCAATATTTAACAACTGGTATGAAAGTAAGGTAATTAAACCTTAAATTGCATCAATGATAAGTTCACTAGACAATTCACCATTGTAAACATTAGGCAGAAACACTGTTTTTATTAGCTCCTATTTAACAGTGGTGTCGTTGACACATCTGTACCATGCAAATGCTTTCCTGTAAATGAGAGCGTACCAAGCTTTGCAGAGTTCATTTGTCATAAACAATTATCACTTCTTTAATCATTAAGATGAAAATATGTGAACTCCAGGTTAAAAAATAGAAATTAATCATAGCTGTAAGAGCATATAAGAGGGAAACAAGGTATATAAATAGACCGCTGTAGAATGTCAAGAAATAGTGCAGTAAATGTGGACCCCTAACCAAAGGTATATTTTGTTAGAGTGGAGAAGGTTTTAGAACATCTACAATCTTTTTATTGTAGTCTGTGTCCCCATTAGGGGCTTTTCCTCTCACTACCTGTCCTGGAGACAGCAGTCTATGAATGATGACTGTTAAAATATCCCACTGTGGGCTACTTGTGATGGCAGCTCAGTTGCGTCAGACCTAATATGCTAAGAATAACTTGCCTGTGGGGAAAATACTGAAAATGAGAGATGGAAATAGCATGATAAAGTCTATGAGACTTTAGTGATTGGATTTACATATATTTTGAGGTGTAACTACAGCCAAAACTTATTTTTTCTAGTTTTGGATAAAATATGGAATGATTAAACCCCCCTCACCACAGGATGTTCTTCACTGCCTCTAATCTGAGATGGCACTGCACCCACTCCCACATTGGAAGAGTCACTCTATACTATAAAATAGTTTTGTAAAGTCAGTAATCACCAACACCGAATGGGCGCAAAGAGCTTGCTTCAAAGTCTGATATGTGTTTTTTGCCCCAGGGTTCCTTTTAACCATAACCCTTTACCTTTGGAGAGCTCTATCAAGGAGGCTGCAATAGAAGCAACATTGGTCATATTAACCCAAAATCCCTAGGAATGCTCTGACATTTTTTTTATGTGTAGGTTGGGGTTACTTTTGAATTGCTTTAATTTTACTGATTTTGGGCTTAATCATTCCCAGGCCAATGGTGTAAGCCAGGTATTTTGCTTCTTCCAAACCTGTGGAACACTCTTTGGGATTTGCCATTAGGCCTGCTTTCCTGACACAGGAAAGTACCACTTTTGTACTCCTGACGGGTATGTCTCCCAGTCAGAGCTGTGAATGATTATATCATTCAAATAGGCTTTTGCATATTGGTGAGGAAGTCTTAAAATCTTATCCATCATTTTCTAGAATTAGGTAAGCTGCCCATGTATGCCAAAATGCAACACTTTATACAAATCCCTCTGGGGTGGAGAACGCAGTGTCTTTCTTAAGCACTTTAAGTAAGAAGTACCTGCCCGTAGCCTTTCCTCAGATCTAAAGTTGTTAGTTATTTGGCAGTCCCCAACCTGTCAATATGTTTGTCCCTCCGAGACCTAGGGTAAGCATCAAATTTAGACACACTATTCAGTTTTCTAAAGTCATTGCAGAAATCCCAGACTTCCATCTAGCTTAGGAATTAACAGTATTGGACTTTTCCCAGTATGATGGACTTTAAGGTTTACTTCCATACTTAGTTAATTACCTCAAAAGGGCCTTGTCATTTAACAAATTCAGCTGTGAGGACTTGGAAAAGTACCCTATCTCTCAGATTAAAATTATTGACTTTGATACCTCCATTATAAACCATTTCCTGAGATTCTATCCTGCATCTAAGAGATGATCGATAATGGTGCCCTACCATGTTTCTTTCACAACATCGTGCAAGCCTCTGGAGTGCCTACCATAAAGGTGAGTTACCTGTGGATGGCTGAGGGATTTCTTGTACTGAAAACATGAGGTAGGGCAATAAGACAGAGGTGCGGAGGCATGAGATTTTAAACCGCCTGCAGATCATCAGATCAAGACATAACATTTTTTTCCATTTTTCATAACCTTACGGTCAAACTCCACCACCTCCTGATGCCTAGGCATTCCTGAAAATGGGCTGATTTGATTAAATTAGAGTTCACTAAACTTACAATATTACCTGAGTTTAGCAGAGTTGTAACAAGCTTTTCATTGTTTCTCACACCTGTTTCTCAAGAAATTATTTTTTCTTTCAACAAAGACATGCATTTTTTCAGCAAAGCACTATCACAATACATTGGTTCGAAGGTTATTGGATAGCATTAGCAGCATTATGTCTTAACCCTTGGCAATAAATATATTTTATGAGTATTGTATAGGGTTCCTTTATAAAGCAATCTGGACCTTCCTGACCTATCTGGTGAGACCCCAGGTTCTAAGCCTACATTCTGTTGAACTTTTGCAAAAGCCTTATAGTTTCTTCCCAGGCCCTTACCCCCTACACCTTTTTTACCAGGCAAATCAGTTTGGAGGTGGTAGACAGCGGCGCAGAGGTATGAGGTATACATTCGGGATTGTGGCAGCTTCTCTGCCTTATACACCCAGTGGTGTATTCATTGTGCCCGAATTTTAAAAGTGACACCCAAACCTGTAAGGCTCTTTACCTTAAGTTTCTTATAGTCCTGGGGGCCAGTGTTGGATTCCAGGTCAAAGTAAACTTTTGGCGGCCACAGTCACTTGAACTCTTACATTCTGCATTTTACAGTGCAATTACATTGTTGCCACCATATGTAATATTTCACTTTTGTGGATCGCCTCTTTTGAGGTAAAGGCACAACTCAGACTTAAGGAGAATGCATAAGCAGAATTCAGACAGCAGATACCTTTCAAACTGACTCACAGACAACTTCATTATAAACGGTTGCAGGTAGCAAAAAAAAAAAAGAAAAACGGATAGTTAATCCTAGCGATACCTCACTATCTTTTGATGGACTAGACCCAGCTCCAAAATAGCACGTTTCCAGCAAACTTGCTCACAGGGCTCAATTCACTAAACATGCAATAAAAGGAGGAACAATTAGTTAAAAGCAAATTAACGAGTGTGAGATAAACAATACAGAAACTGTAAAAAATGAAATCAATATGAAAAACATTAAAGTAATTTTACCCCCCAAAAAAGAAAGAAAAAAGGTTTTTGCAGTCTGTTAGCCTGTAGCATTGTGCAAGTGTTCATGACCACCAATTTGAGTCATGCATTTGAGAACAGATTGCTGGAATATAAATTCATCCAAAGGAAGATATGGAGAAGGATGCCATCCTCAAGGCAGGAATGGGAGCAAATAAAAAATGTTTTTTACTCCATGGCTGCTTTTTAATGTTATGGGTGCAAATAACAAATTACACCCTTTTGCCTTTTTTTCACTGGAAAGTACCAACTGAAAAGGTGAAAAAAATAAAGCCTAAATGATGAAAAAGTAAAAAAAATAAAGCCTAAATGATGAAAAAGTGAAACAATAAAGCCTAAATGATTACATAAATACCACCATGTGTTAATGAAAAATCTCATTTAGTAAATATCCCAGATTTTAGTGAATTGTACACTTAAGAGTTACATATCTCATGAGTTATATTACTTCAAAATCTAACTGTTAGGTCCCTTTAACACGGGCTGATCAGGAGAGGATCCCTGCGTAGATCCTCATCTAATCACAGCGGTACGGATTGGATGTTACCGCTGTGACATCAGTGTCCGTATAGTTTTTTTCCTCCATCTTGCGATGGAGGAAAAAACTGAAACAGCTGATGTAAATGGACATGTGCCCGTTTACATCAGATTACCCCCCGATCCGGCACAATTCGGTCTGTTGAAATGGAACACTGTTCCGTCTGTTTTGCTGGAGCCGGGGGGTAACCGGGTGTAAACGAATGCTTGTCCATTTACACACAGCTGCCCATAGACTTGCATTGGGCATCCGATCGGGTCCGTCTGAAAAACTGACAGGCAGACTCGGTCGGACCACCCATGTGAAAGGGGCCTTAGTGAATTGAGCCCCCAGACTTTTGCAGCTTTCATAGGTTAGCTTCCTATGCCCCACAGGACTGCTGCAAGCCTCCCTGATATCACCCTATTTGTAGCAGTAATAGAGGCCTGTAGAAACCAAACCTGGCCTGGATCAGAACCAAACTCAATGACAAAATATAAAGTAAAAATAAAGTTGTATTTACAAGCTTTCATCTCTGACATATGACAGGAAATGTGGACAAATATAACTAGCCTCGATCATCTCTCCCTTCACAATGTTTCAGTGGCCAGCTTTTAGCAATGTTCATACTGTATCACATTTTTTAATGAGCTATATTAAAACATATAAGTGGCTTGCAGTCATAGGAATGGATATTGATAACATTTTGGATTTCAGCTAGCTGTTAATAAACATTCAATTTTATCCATGTTACATATAGTGAATTCATGTACAGAATACCCATTTTACAGTGCACAATTTCTTCCATACTAAGCAGATCAATACATATACTGGTCCATTTATCAACCTATGAATTTTGTCATAGCAAATGAGATTTACTGGTATTCTTACATTTAGGTGGCTGAAGTTTGAAGAAGATGTAGAAGATGGAGGTGAGCGCTGGAGTAAACCATATGTAGCCACTCTCTCTCTGCACAGCCTGTTTGAACTGAGAAGCTGCATCATCAATGGAACCGTTCAGCTAGATATGCGTGCAAACACCATAGAGGAAATAGCAGGTATAATGCTCACCTACCTGTGCAATTCAGCTTTATTTCAGTGTAAGCTAAGGTGCCACGGAAACCTCCATATGTATCTTATGACAGGAATTCTGTAAGATGCCTTATGAAAATAATTCTTAATTTAACAGGGGGCTCCCCTCAATCTGTGTGGAGATTTCTAGATCATGGAATAGATACATTTGATTAGGGTGACGTTTCTCAGAAAATTGCTATTGTTCCCCAGAGAAGCTGGTGTGTCTGTGCAATGCATAAACATGGAAGCTCGACTTGTTCTATCATACTTTTATATGCAGAAGTCATACAAGAGAATTACCATGCTGTGATATGATGTTCAACCTTTAGCCCTTATTCACACCTACAGGTGCACTTAGGGATTCCTGCGTCAGGTGCACTTAGGGATTCCTGTGTCAGGAATTTGTGATTTCCTGCAGCAGGAATCCCAAATCTGCTGTTTACAAGCAGCAGCTGTCACCTGTTCCAAGTTAATGATCGGGTGAGAGCGGCCGCATTCAAAAGCAGCAGAAAGCTGGCACACCAAATGTAATCACATGTGATATGATTACATGCAGTTAGGAATCAATCACTATCTTTGGATGCATGATCGATGTGGTGTGCCAGCGTTTTGCTACTTTCAAATGCAGCTGCTGCCACAAGATCGTTCACTTGCACAGGTGACATCTGCAGGACGTAAGGTCAGTCTCCCCTGTTGAGACACAGACAGCAATAAATAGTGACAGAGTTCATAATCCTTTCTAATTCTGCTAAAAATATTTGGATTTTTATTGCAGCCTGTATCCCGCCAGGAGAGATTCCCTTCACTTTCTTTCCATAGGCTTACACGGAAGGTGTGTGCATATCTTCCAAATGGGATCACCAGCAGCAATACAATCCTGACAAGAGGTACTAACCCTCCACCCCCCTATTCAAAGCATCTGTAGGCAGGAACTGCAGGAGATGAAGGTGCACAAAAGGTAACAGACCTGAGTGTAAGAGAGGTATGACAGTATAGATGTGTAGTTGTTAAATACAGATATCTCCAGCATCTGCGCTAGTGTGGCTTTTCAGCTGTCTCTGGGTAGAAGAGGTTGCATAGCTGATGCTTTTTTTCAAAGCACAGATACACTCATTTATCAAAGCAAAAAGACTGATTGCCTGTTCCTAAGCACAGAGGCATTAATAAGGGGCCTTGGGGAGATTATTCAAATCCTTTAATGTGATCCACGTCTTCTTTGAAGGCTCACTTGTGTATTGATATGTGTAGCTGAATCTTAAGACAAGCATTGCCCCGATGATTCATGAAAATGAGTTTCAAATGTAAAATTGGAGCCGTCACTTGGTAATCTTCTTTCATATGATGTTAACAGGTTTAAAAGATGTTAAAAAAACTTTGCTTATTATGAACTTATAGAATGTAGGATGAAACTAATTGCATTTGTTTAGTACAGTATTTCCTGCTTTGTTTTAAACAGATTTACTAAAAAATACATTTGAAAAAAGGGTGGCATTAAAACTGCAATGATTTAGATTTATTAATTATACTACTTTTCACAACTTTTCCCTTTTTTGTATAGTAAATGTTTGTTTTACAAAAAATAAAGAAAATCAAATACAGGTAAGTAGAAACTTACAGTACACATACAATGACATGAAGGTATGTCTCGCCAATTGTTGCTATCAACAATTAAAGAGAATTACAGTACAGAGATCATGTGGGTGGCAGATTCACACATTTAAAGAGTAAATCCCAGGAACTCATCTGGAGCATGAGTTCCTGGGATTTTATGTGTATAACAATAATAAGCAGTGTTAGTGAGAGCACATAAGGGAAAGATTGGTTGAAAGGGCAAGGCAGAGTAGGAGGTTAGGAGACTGTCAGTAATGTTTTTGGAGGAAGGCAGGATATGGTTGTATGGTCATGGGAAAATGAAAAGGGTTAAGGGTGTGGGGTCTGTAGATCCCATGGTGTGAGGAGAAGGAGTCACACATTGTCTAAGAGGCATAAGAACTCTTCCCTTTTTGATATGGACAAAGGTATGTTGTACATGATTTTAGACATCAGCCACACAAAGCTGCCCGTTCTCCTCCTTACAATGAAATGAATGTAGCCAGTAAACACTGTTGGGCTGCTTTGTAACCATGCTACGGAAATGTCCTTGTGACAAGATATAAGGTGCAATAGGGAAAAAGACAAGAAGAGGGCAAAGGACTATTCACTGGTTTGGGCTGATGGTGGCATATCTTTTCATCATTACTGCCTTGTTCTACTCTGTGTCAACTTGGTATAGGCAAGTCTTTGCTTTCTGATGACAGAACTGCCCCCTGATAAATGGTAATCTGATGACTGGTGGGGTAATGACCAGTAAGCAGTAGGAGGGCTGGAGGAAGCACAGATCTTCAGAATGAATGAAGTAGAAGCAGGGAGATGTTTGCACTGCAGGTGCTCAGGTACAGTTTCCTGTCCAACAGGCCCTAAGAACAATGAGCAGTACAGTAATGACATTGCCTAATCTTACTGCTACCTTACAACAGAAACTTAAGGCAAAATGTAAATGTTTCTGTGTACTGCTTGGCCACAATGCACAAGTCACCTTGTAACACTCTGACCTCCAGGCCTTCTCATTCACAACCCCTTTCCTCCTTACTACACTCAGGACATCTTATAAGCTAACCTGTGATCTGCAGATACTCTTTAGTGGCTAATACACTTCTGGTTCTGCTGCCACACAACAGGCAATATTTACAGGGTTATTCACAAAAAGATGAAGAGTTTGGAGAAGGCAGGAGAAGTGAACAATCTAGGACAAAATAGAGGATTTGGAAAAATTCTCAAATTGAGCTGAATTTGAAATTTTTTCCAAATCCTCTATTTTGTCCTAGATTGTTCACTTCTCCTGCCTTCTCCAAACTCTTCACCTTCTTGTGAATAACCCTGTAAATGTTTATTGTTGGGTTTAGTTGTCCTTAAATTATATGAGTAACCCTGTAAATGTTGTAATTGCAGAACGGAGAGTTGCTTCTCACCATAGAACACAAAAGTTGTTGAGTGCATCAAGGCATTTACTCCATTTGCATCAGGGAATATTGCTAAATTTGCACTGAGAGAATTTTAGTAACCTCTATTTGATAGCCAAGGCTTTTTATACCAAACATATTGTTTCTCTTATAAATGTTTGCCATGATGTGACAGGTGTTGACCATCTATGATGCCAAAAAGGAACATTTTAAAAGGATGTTATGGATTGGGGATAGGAAAGAGACTAGAGGCAATGGCAGTTGCATAATTCTTCAACTTTAATAGGATTACTAACTGACAAACATCGAAGCTTGAAGACAATTATTTTGTTATTACATTGTTTAAAGTGTGCCGTCACACTCGTCTGAGGGGACAATTTTCAAATGGTTCCAAATAGGATAAAACAAATCATTTGCTTGCTGTAATTAGCCAAGTAAATGCAAGAGTACCCAGGATAACCCTGGAGGGTTCAGCTCTGCCGATTCTAACAAGATCTTTCGCAGGGTCAGTCAGTCACAGGGCACAATTACCACTGAAGAGCTGCAGTAGTTGTGTGTAATGTCTTTAAATGGCTTAATCATATGAATTCGCAGACCAATATTATATTTCTTAAACATTCTTCTGGTTATTATTTTTACTAATGCACTGTGTACTTAATTATCAGTGAAATTATTATTTATAGCTATTATTCCACATTTCTTCCTTAAAAAAAATATTATTATTTTTTTATATCAGATTGGTTGAAGGGTTTTGCCAGAACACAATTTCTACTTGTTGTTTTGCCTAGAACAGTTGTCTTTAGTTTTACACACTTTTTATGCCTTGGTATGGATAGCTGTCTTTCTTACACACTATTGGCTGGTGTGTGATTAAAGAACAACTTCAGGTAAAATTGTATTAACCTATGCAGTGGGGTTATACCCACACTGCAAGGGTTAACTGCTCATTTTTACCTAGGGTCAAGAATAACAAAGTTATCCTCCGAGCTGGCCGGCTGTGACAGCATTCCCTCCTGCCCATCTCCACTGCAGCAATGGTATGTCCCTCAGCGTTCCCACACGCTATACGCTGTGTAAAGAATGTGATGACTCAGGGATTGTAGACTGCTGCAGCGAAGGGGGAGACGCTTTGCTTCTGTTCCTTTAGTAGGTCAGCCCCACCAATTGCTATTCTGAAGACATTATTGATTGGCAAGCGATAAACACAGTGACTGCCAGGCACTGTGTACATTGATTATAGAGGCAGTAAGAAAAATACAGATTTGTTTTCAGTATTTATGATTATGATCTTTTGTTTAAAGTAGACCTGTCACAAGCATGGACAATTCAAATTGAGCATATGATGAAAAAATACCACACGTCAAGGTGATCAGTCATCCACATCTGCAGGCAGTTATATACAAGCCTTGGCCTTTCCTTTTGAAATTACGGGAGTTCTTAAGTCCCAGCATATACTATCCTGTTATAACATTAGCATTGTAATAGGAATACATACTAGAGTTGTTTTTGATAATGCAATCAAATGCAATCCCTTTCACGTAGTGAGTGCTGCCTTCCATCTGCCCATCACGTTCAGCAACTTCCTGGATTCCCAGTGTGCTTTGTGTCTCTTTCCTGCTGCTTGATGTGATGCAATCTTAATTTTTCAAGACTACATATCCCATCATTCATTGCTTCCAGCAAGCAATGATGTTGCATTATTCAGACGTCGAGTTGTACCTCAGAAGGCAGGCTCTGTGAGAGTTTTGACACAAGCAAATGCATATTCACAGAGTGGCATTATGTCAGTGCATTGAGGAAGTACATCCTATGGGCATTTTCAATAAGTAAGTTTACAAACTTCTAGATGGATATGGTTATTAGGAGTAGGGTAGAACTTATGGAAATTCAATGTTGAAGTACATATTTAGTTTTTGACCACAGATACCCTTTAAGCTTGATACTTCCTCTCCTGATGCTTAAACTGACCTGTTACCCTTGTATGTTTTGAATTCACTAAGGGCATTCACATCTATACATGCGTTACATTAAGAATGGAAAAATACTTTACAGGCGTTAGTGTGTTGTGCTGCCATTTATTTTCAGTGACACCCCAGGGCACTAAGGAAATGCACAATAGGGAACCGGATGGGTGTGAATGGGCCCTAAAAATGTTATTTTAATAAAATAAAGTGACGAGGGAGCATGGAGTTGGCTCCCCGGCCAATCAGGAAGCCAGGCAGCGTGTAATGACACGCTGCCCGGATTCCTGGTACCGGAAGCTTGGGTATCAAAGCATTTGGGCGAGTACGGGTACTCGCCCAAATACTCTGTATCGGTGCATCCCTACTTGTAATCCTTGCACACTTCTGAAACATTTTTCGATATAACATTCTAGTGTTCTTAGGACAGCACTGGATGTCTGGCAGGATCAACAGGTATATTTTATTGCAATATTTAAAAGACCAGAAGGGATCAAATAAGTGAAGGTCATTGTCAGGGTTTACATGTACTTTAAAGAAGTATTTTGTGTAAATTAATATCAGTTGCATACCTATGCAGTATTTGTTTCTGAACTGAAAATTTTCATGACAAAGGTATCAAAGGACAAAATAATGAGCACTGTTAAATAACTGGTACTTAATACATTGACTCCTCATCATTTAAATATGCTTAAAGCGGTGGAGAGTATGGGCATTGCCTCATCTCACTGGCTAATCAGAGGCTGTGGTGGGTTTTGACCTAACTGCAGTTATAGTCCGTAAGGAGGACCACAACCTGCCTTTTCTGTCTGACCAGGATGCCTGTAACACAACACAAGGCTGGCTAAACAGAATTGCAAATTCTATGGCAGACAAAAAAACAACAACTGTTTACATATGTTTAATAGAGGAACATGTCAATATAAAAACAGAAAACATGTTAAATACATCGCTGAAAAAAATCCCATTTAGCACACTAGTATGGTAATACAATTAGTATGTGTTATATTGTGATGTTGACTAATTCAGTTGCTGTGTGAGAACAGAGAACAATGTCTTTTGGTCGTTTAATTTGCAGACATGATCTTGGACCACCAGGATTCTGCTGGCGAGTTAGGTGATAATATCCGGGTCAAGGTGAAGGAAGCACTGCTGAAGAAACATCACCATCAAATAGAGAAGAAACGCAATAATCTTATTCCTATGGTGCGCTCTTTTGCAGAGGTTGGAAAGAAGCAGTCAGAGCCCCATTTACTAGACAAAAATAGTAAGTTTGTTTTTCAGTATACTGGCTGTGTTCAGAAAAGTGTCAGGTGGAGGGGAACAGTTTGCATACATATTGTTTCATCTTCATTTACTTCGTCCAATGAAACATCTCTCTTTTATGGTTATGCTTTGGGTTATGTACCACTGATAAACACAATTATTTCTATTAATTTAAAATGTAAATCACTGGCTTCTCCTTTCAATAAATTTCCATTGGTCGTTTTCAGTAACAACAGTATTGAAGTATCTGGTGGCACAAGTCATACATTCAAGTATAGTGTAGAATGAAGCCATTGGATGCGGAAAACAATAACTTATGATAAATAAGTTTAACTTATTAATTAAACTAGACCCATATAATAGGATCCTCCACACTTGATTATCTAAGGCAGGCAGGTAGCTTCCAAGACACCACAATCACAAATTCCCAATAAAAGGGTTTACCTTATATTAGGATAGTGGGCAGTACCATGCAAGTCATTACCTAATGTCCATAGACCAACTGTGCACCTTGGTTTGAAGCATAGATATAACCTTTTTGGTTTTCTGTGACCCACCTTACTATAACCTGTCTGGTTATACTTTTTCACTAAAATTAGGCTGTATCTGTGCAATAGGTGTTCTGGTTGTACAGCTGGTCCAGGGACATAAAGGAATGATTTGCATGGCTCTGACCACTATAATAAAGTGAAGGATAAACTCATTATCATTTGGATGGAGGTAAGACATGTTGATACCTTCTGTTTTAAGAAGACTACATGATGCATCACACTGGTTCAGTGGAGGGTTTTTGACCCACGTCACACTAACCTGTTTGGTTGTACTTTCGCACAGCTACCATTTTTTTTTCTATCTTATCTTTTAAATCAATTTTTAAAAGATGACACCTGGAATTTAAAATGTTCACATCTGGACAGTGACTAAGTGATTTCAACAAATACTGGCACATTAAAACCTGGGATCCATAAAAGTGCAAAATCACCCACGCCAGGCAATACAAATTTATATTTCACTGATCTGGCTTCTGTAAGCAGAAATCTTATTGGGTCCTGTGGGTTTGTAAACAAGCATCTTACTTTTTTTTTCACTGTCTCTGTTAATCCTGATGATATTGCACAGAAGATATGATTATGCCATCAACGGGTACTAGGTGGCAGCAAATTCCTGTTTTAGTTTGAAGTGGTGCTCAAATTTTTTTGTAAGTATAACTTATATTAGAAAATTATAGTTCTCACTTCTCACATGTACTAACGTTTCAATTTAGATGTACAATGACTGCAGTTGTTGTGGTATAGCTTTTTTGTGCTGTCTTCCTTTTTTGGGGAGAAAAAGAGGACGCATCTTTAGTATTTGCCTTACGAAAGGGACTAGTGATATACATGTAACCTACATTCTTAATAACTATTTGCATCTTTAAAAACGCTAAAGTGTTTACCTTTTACAAATTACAACACTGCTTTAAAGAGAACATGTGTCTGAGTACAAAATAGTTATGAATTCTTATTATTAAAGGAGAACTATGAGGTGAGTGAAAATCACTCAGCCTCATAGTTCTAGCCGACCTGTGACAATGAAACTGTCCCTAGGACGGCTCAATAGATCCAGAAGTGAGTAGCCACCTGTCACTCACGCAGCTGGGTGGATCCAGACAGTAATATCGGGATCCGTCCCAGCTGCGGCGTCTCAGTATACCGCAAGCTGTATCTCGCGGTATACTGAGCTTTGGGTGACGGGAGGACGCTAGTTTGTGTCCTCCCGTGACCCTTAGGAGAACTATGGGGAAAAGCCCTGACCCCCATAGTTCTCCTTTAAATATTTATAATTTATTATAATATAATACATTATCCCTAGTTTCCTTGTGATTTCTCAAGCTGCTTTCTTCACATTGTCATTATTTTACAAGATATTACAAATGCATATGTACATAAGAGAAATACTTTTTATATAACAGCAATTTTGAAGCAAGCCAAGCTAATGGTTTTTCTTACAGGTCTGTCGGTGTTTCCACAACCTATGCCCTCTACATTAGATGTAAAAAATGGAGGAGGCCACGACAACAGCAGTGCCGTTGATCTTAGTAAGGTGGGTAATATCTTCCATTGATTTTGTAGATTGCATTATTATCTGAAGTAGCTCTGTCCTTCTGAAGGAAAAGAAGCACTGGGGTACAGAGAAAAGGTAAGAAGAAGAAAAGTGGAATGCGGAGGACATAAACGAGAGACACACGGGTTTAGTGTAACTTTGTATTGCTGCTACTAAAGATGTACTACACAAAAATTTATATTGTCGTTGTTTTTCAAGGTGGATCTTCACTTCATGAAAAAAATTCCCATTGGAGCAGAAGCCTCTAATGTCCTTGTTGGAGAACTGGATTTTCTAGAACGACCCATCGTAGCATTTGTTCGCCTTTCTCCAGCAGTTCTCCTAACTGGATTGACAGAAGTTCCAATACCAACTAGGTAAGATGGACTGAATATTGCATGAATAGATAATGTACTGCTCTCAGACTTTTTTTATTACAATGTCACTTAGATGATACTTTCACAACATACAATTACCAATACGCATTGGAGATAGCTTGTGATTTGATGCTTCTCACTAAAGATTTTGAAATTATTCTCTGGTTTCTTTGGTCTTGAGGTGCTTAACAATCTGGCAGCTAGTGTTATCCTATATAATACAGCTATTCATCTTTAAAGTTTTACTGTTTGCATTACTGTCATTTGCTTATTAGAAGATAAAAGCTACTTGATGGAGCTGAGGAGCATAGGAAATAAATATGTATGGCCACTAAATGGTGCTGAGGAGCATAGGAAATATATACTTATGGCCACTAGATGGAGCTGAGGAGTATTGAAAATAAGGACTAAAGCGGGGGCCGAATCTACTTGTCCCTCATGACAATCTACTTGTCCTGATACAAACATTTTTTTTTAACCAAAACCGCATTTAGCAGTGCTAAGTAGTGCTTCTCATTGGTCAGTGCCGTCAGGTGACCGCGCTGACCAACGAGTGCTTGCAATTTGCTAGCTAAATTCAGAATACATGGAACAGGTACAGATAGTACACCCGTACTGGTGGACGTGAAGGGCTGGTCGCCGAAAGGTAAGTATAGCGGGAGAGAGATTTGTGCGGGTAATTCCATTTTCCCAAATTACTTGGGAAAGTGAATATACCCTTTGGGGTTGGTGTAGACTTGGGGATTCCCGGGACGTGCGATCGTGTGCGGTTTCATACAGCGGTTGCATCCGCATGTATGGGGTTACATCTGGGTGGCAATCGCTGAAAAAAAGGTAGCTGTACCTATTTTCACAACATGCACAGCGCAGTGTTTTCAACTGTGATCGTGTGGGATCGCCCGGGTGGTATTGCAGCAGGAAAACATGCAATCTGCCTGACACGTCTGGGGTGCCATTAGAAAATAATGGCACTGACAGTACGATCGGCGGTGGTGTGCGATTCTGTGACAACCCAGCCATCCGCTCGATTTCGTGCACGATGACCGGGCAGTCACGGATCGCACACCACCGCCAATCGCGCTGGCAGTGCCATTATTTTCTAATGGCACCACAGTCGTGCCAGGCAGATTGCGGTGTTTTCCTGCTGCAATACCGCCCTGCCCGTGCGGTTGCACACGATCACAGTTGAAAACACTGCGTATTTATTTGCATGCAGATGGGGCAGCGGGGCTGGTTTTCATTTTTTCAATTTTTATTTACTTTGTACAACATTTTCATTTGTTTTATTTTTTTTACTTTATCGCCTTTTTATTTTTTACATTTTTATTTAGTTAAATTTTTAACTATTATTTATTACTTTTTTTTTTCAACTTAACTGTATTGCTATCACACAGTGATAGCTTTTGGAGGTGACAGGTTCTCTTTATTGAACCTGTCACCTCCAACACAGGAGTTCTAGCACAGCACTGTGACAGCGGCGCAACGGCCGCCTTAGACAGAGGCTGAGGGAGGTGACAGAGCCTATCACTGCTCCATCACTACTCCACGCCCCCCTGCTCTCAGCGCTCTGGCCCCGCTCTCAGCGCTTCACGCTCCTGCCCCGCCCCCCGCTCTCGGCGCTGCATGCTCCGGCCACGCCCCCTGCTCTCTGCGCTCCACGCCCTTCGCTCATTTAAAAAAAGTAAAACCAGCCCTGCTACTTGTCCGAAGCAGGGCTAAAACAGTGAAAAAAACACTTGCCCAGCGCCCAGAACTACATGTCCCGGGCGTCGGGCGATACGAATTCCACACCCCTGCATTATTCACACAAAGCAAGCCTTCACAGATATTCGCAGTGCCTTTGTTTATAAATAGACCACTAAGTATGCACTGATCTCACTGCACCTGATTGCATAAAAACCTCTAAAACTAAAAATGCCTTGTTGTATGCATAGAACCTCAGTGAACATGTGTATAACATGTTGAGCATGAAGAAAAGTGCAGGCTTTGCCCACCCAGTGCAAATATATTTTACATAGCACGCATGAGCAAGCAGTAGATATATGCCCAAACATTTTAAAAAATAAAATAGTTATCCTATATGTAAAAACGTACCTGAGTCTGCGCCGCTCGCTCCCTGCTGTGAAGGAGGAAGTGTGTGCGGGTGCATGTGCACTGGATATCACCGGAGGGGAGAGGAGGAGAGACACAGAGGGGATAAATGCATGCAGCCGAGAGCGTGCATGCCAAACAGACTCAGTGGGAATGAGGAAGAAACAGCAGTCTGCGCTGGACCAGAGACCGGCACCAGCGCTGGAGGGACTGCTGAAAATGAATGAATGGAAGGAAGAAGATGTTCGGACCAAGAGGCATCACATCAGGTAAATACTTAAAGCAGCATGGCAATAGGGGGAAGAGAGAGACTTAAATGTCACTTTAAGGTAGAATATTAGTAGAATTTTGTAGTGTCGAAATATAAGGCACCCTGCAGACTGGGACAGTAACAAATAGAATAAACATTTGTGTAAGCTTTAGTAGATCATTAAGGGAATCCTGATATCTGGGTTTGTGTATTTATATGCATTTATACACATTTCCTTTTAGTAAATCAAACCCAAGGAGTGGTGTTGTTGTAGATCTCTTGAGCTGATTATACACTGTTTAACATGCATGTAGGAATCTGTTTATCTTTTTCCATTCAGCCCGAATGTTGAAAAAAAAAAATCTAACAAAATCACCCAGTATGGCGCTTGTATTTTGACAGTCAACCCCACTGCCTGTAAAAATACTTGAACAGTGCCTGCTGATTGAATGCTGGCACTGTTCAGCCAACATTTTCCCATCTAACTTCTTGGATTGTTCAATCAAAGGATGTAGGGGGGTGGGAGCCAGCAAACAGGGCCACCTACTGAGCGAAATTCGCTCATCTATAGCCAGCTGTACTGTTTCAAAAGTACAGCATGAGGAACTACTTTCAATCAGCTTAAAAGTGCATGCAATTGCCTGCAAATTGTGATACATACAGTATATGGCCAGCATTAGTCTCAGTTCTCAGCCTGAGTTTCAAACAATGGAAAAATGGTAAAAGAAAATCTTCAGTTATTTTCCTGGAATGAATGATCTATCAGCTTAAATGACTGAAAACCAATTCTCATAGGCTCTTCTTTTCAAGACCCCAAGGCAACTGCATACAGTTTTAGGCTTAAATTAGGCATTATATGATAAATGTTGCTATAAAGATTGTAAGATTGTCCTTATTTTATTTTTTTACAAGTTTTGATTTTCATTTTGCATTTTAAATGTTATAACAACAAACATAGTAACCACTGTATCTGTAAAAATAGAAAAATGGGCTGCACAGAACCCTAGAAAAGGAAGAAAAAAAGACCCCAAACATTTAAAAACAGTTACCTCCACACTTACAACATTAATTCCATCTCTTTCTCTCTGTACAGCATATATCATAGACGGAGAACAGGCTCAAACCTATTGGCACAAATAAAAAGACCTACAGTGGGTATAGAAAAGAATCACCCCCCTTTAAAATAATCACATTTTGTTGCTTTGCAGCCTGAAATGAAGACAGACAGTTTTTTTTTTTATCCAGCTGTATTTACTCAGTGCAACTTATAACATCCAAGTGAAAGATAAAACACCAACATGTCAGAAAAAGATACAAAAAATTCAAAAACAAAATCACGGAGTTGGAAAAAGGATCACCCTCTTGTGTCAGTATTTTGTTGAACCCCCTTTTGCTTTAATTACAGCCTTTAGTCTGTTGGGATATGTCTCTACTAGCTTTGCACATCTAGACTTTGCAAGATTTGCCCACTCTTTTTTGCAGAACTGCTCAAGTTCAGTTAAATTTGATGGTGACCGTTTGTGGACTGCAGTCTTCAAGTCATTACACAGATTTACAATGGGGTTTAAGTCTGGGCCCTGGCAAGGCCATGCAAGGACATTCACCTTTTTCTCCTTCAACCACTGTTTGGTCACTTTTGCTGTGTGCGTTGGGTCATTGTCATGTTGGAAGGTAAGCCTTCTTCCCATTGACAACTTTCTGGCAGAGGGCAGCAGATTTTCCTCAAGAATTTGACGGTATTTTGCCCCATCCATTTTTCCTTCTTTCCTGACAAGTACTCCAGTCCCTGCTGCAAAGAAACATCCCATAACAGGATATTTCACATTACAACAAAGTAACAACCTTTACTCCTTTATTAAATCAACCACAATGTGTTCTTAAAACTCAATAGGGTTTATTTAATAAAGCAATAGAGAATGTTCACTTTGCAAAGTAAATGTTCACTCAGCTTGTTAAAATAGGTAAAGCTATGTTTACTTTAAATACCTAACCATGTGCAGGGAAATGTAAAAAATACTGTGTTTTGGTTTGCACGTGATTGATTGAATGATTGACGTGAATACAGGTCCACTTTATTCACCAAGCTAAGCAAGCATTCTCTTTGCTAAGTGAAAATTCTCTACTCCTCTTTTCTCTATATTATATAATTATAGTTTATTTCGGTAGTTATTCTAGTTTGTATTATTATGTTTCAGGTTCTTATTTATCTTGTTGGGACCGGTAGGAAAAGCACAGCAATACCATGAGATTGGCAGATCCATGGCTACTATAATGACTGATGAGGTAAATATGTTTTTTTGACTGTTTCTGTGGACAAAATTAAAAAATAAAATAGCAGCTACCTGTTTCAATAGTATGGTAAATAGCAAAAGGCAACATCATCATATTGTATATTCTTGTTAGAAATCTCTAGATATGATCTCAAGATATAAGTGTTCACTTTTTATTTATTTGTTCATTTATTAATTATATTATGTGTATGACAGTATTCATCTTGTGTTCTTCACATCTGGCAGACAGCTGCCAGGAATGTTGCACAAACAACATAACAGTAAGGATGAGAGAAGTCTTGTCACTTTAAGCCATGGTCTAGGGATAACTAACACCTGTTAGATGAGACAGTTTTGCTTGAAACAAGACTCATTTGCAGATTTCTGGGAAATGTTTTACATCGAAATAGGTTTAATTATATTGTATTTTATTATTTACAATCCCACCTTACCGCATTCCATTTGTGGTTTTTTTTCTTTACTACAATACAATCTGTTTATAGATTTTTCATGATGTTGCTTACAAAGCAAAAGACAGAGGGGACTTGCTAGCTGGAATAGATGAGTTCCTTGATCAAGTGACAGTACTTCCACCTGGAGAATGGGACCCATCAATCAGAATTGAGCCTCCAAAAAATGTTCCTTCTCAGGTTGGTATCATTATTGGTATGTGAGTAGACAGTAGAAAGGAGGTGGCTGAGACCACTGCAGAGACTTGATTGGTCCATACTCTGTTATTCACTAAGTGGAACTAGCTGACTTTTCTAAGGGTTCCAGTGCTTATTGTGTCAGTACCCAGATTTCGCCTTTAAACAGAAAAATATTGTAAGTATCTAACATTAGAATCACTATTTCTAGTTTCTAAATTGTAATGACTAGGAATTGGAACCATTTTTTTTTCTCATCCATTAAGAGGCACAGGATATATTAAACCTTTGCAATTTATTGGCACCTACAAGATGATTGTTTGCTGTCAAACAAAAAAACTGTAGGCAAGCCCAGGGTATAACCCCTCCAACTACCAGCATGCCTTGATTTTTTTTTGCCAGTGTCCTAGGAGGATGGACGTCTTTTCTTAATGACTAACCTGTTTTTGAGACCCAATAATTAAGTCAACGGAGGCCCTTTCGAAAACTATGTTCTTTTTGGCAGGTTTCCTCAGTTTTGGCTGTATTTGTCAGAATTCCTTAAAAGGGATCTAACCGTTGCTGCCATTGACCCTCAGATAATTGAGCACTTGGAACAGATGTCTGTGGCATTAAACATTAGCTTAGCTTCACCTTCAGACTGTCCATTGTTCAGGCCTATGGTCTTAAGGGTCAGGTTCCCCCCTTTGCCAGTTACGACTTACTTGATTAGAGCAGTGAGAACCTCTTTGGCTTTACAGCTCTTTTTTTTACCAGATTTGCAAAGCTGCCATCTGGATTCTGATCCTGTACATGTTCTCTATGTTCTACTAGGTGGATGTTTCTGCTTCATCTGATTCCAGCTTCTTGCGTAAGGTCCTTTAGGCAACTCTTTGAGCTGCAGGCATGCACCAGTTCATGGTGTTTATGTTGCGCCTGCTAGGAGTTGTTTTCTTGTGTTGCCCACCCCTCCGTTGGACTGGTTTTGTCCAATGGGCTAGAAAGAAAATTAGGATTTTTGTACTCACCATAAAATCTTTTTTTCTTGAGGGAGTCCATTGAGGGACAAGGGTTTTGTCCATCTGTGTTTATAATCAAATGCTTTGTATTGCATTGCCACATAACTGAGACATGCAAGTAGCAGGAGGATTTATACCATAGGGTGCCCTACAGTTTTTTGTTTTGCCAGTGTCCACTCTTCCTGGAGGGGACAGTATAACCCAAAGTTTAAAGACTTTCTGTTTCTCTGAATGCAAGGATCACCTTTTTCTGGACAAAATAATTTAGAATCAGATTAATAAAGTAATGTAAAATGTATATAACGTATTTATATACTACAGTGTATGAACATTTGAAAATAGTAAAATCTTCTTGCTCTACCTACTTACAGTACTGTATTTTCTAGCTGGAATAAAATATTGTAATTGTTCCCCATTCATAAACTGGTATGTGAATCCTCCTGACGCAGGAAAAACGAAAGATGCCTGGAGTCCCCAATGGAAATGTCTGCCATGTGGATCCAGAACCAGAGCCTGAAGAGAGTGGACCAGAACTGCAGCGCACAGGGAGGTTGGTGAATGTTTGTTAGAATAATTATCTAGTGTCAGAGTGACACACATACTGCAGACTGGGGAGAAAAAAGTCCCTGACCAAATCTGGCTACAATACTTCCTTTTATACCAGATATTAATAGTAGTCATAACTATTATTACCTTCATGGATAATTTAAGTTGCTCCTACTAGACTACTAAATTATTGCAGAAAAAATTTGATATTTAGAATGTGAAATCTACAATAGTATTATATCAAGGTGGCTAGATTGTGAACATTTGTTGATCATAGCAGGCAAGTAGATGTCTTTGTTTTAATTACAAATTAATCTGATATTTATTTCAGGTTCCATTGTGTAATTTTTTACAAGCTTGCCATGTGAGTAATTGGGGTTGATTTACTAAAGGCAGATAGGCTGCTCACTTTGCTAGGCAATTTTCCCTTAGCTTATTGAATGTGGCAAAAGTTCACTTTTGAAAGAAAACCCAATCACGTGCAAGGAAAATTACAAAACAAAAAAACAGTATTTTTACTTGCACATGATTGAAAGCTGCAATGTCCTTGAAAAATGAAAATTCCTTTGCAAAGAGAATAGCCTATTTGCTTTTAGTAAGTCAGCCCATTTGAGCCATATACAGATATGATCAAAGTGAAGTCAAAACTGAAGGTTAGCCCTTTAAAAAGGTACTGCAGCCTAAAAATGAACCAGACACACATAGGGCTGCAGTCTTCTAAAAGGAGTGAACAAAGACCACTTTTGCAATTAAACATTCTTTGGGAGGCCATTTGAGCCCCTAGCTGCTGCATATCCTTGAATGGCCCTAGGTCACATATTTAGTAAACTTGCAGCCCTATGCCTAAAGCATTATTGAAAGAAACCCAATAAAAAATTGTGCCACTGAGCAAACATTAGTCATCTGCATTGCCAAGTGGTCCTTTGATTGAAAATTGTTCCTGCTCCTGCCAGTGAAATGCACTCTTTATTATTCATTGCAGGCTATTTGGTGGTCTGGTGGTAGATATCAAGAGGAAAGCTCCTTGGTACTGGAGTGACTACAGGGATGCGCTGAGCTTGCAGTGTGTGGCTTCTTTCCTCTTCCTGTACTGTGCTTGCATGTCTCCGGTCATCACATTTGGGGGTTTGCTTGGAGAAGCTACAGAAGGTCGAATAGTAAGAAACTTACCTGTGACTAACACTGACTAGTACCACCCTCACTTCCTGCCTCTCTCTCCTCCTAAAAGCCACAAGACTGGCTAACAGATCTTGCTTCATTAAACCAGTTGTTTTAATTGCCATCTTTTTGTTTCTAATCAGGATAATCCCTATCACTGGCTTTATTTAAGCACCCAGCGTGTCTGCTATCGCCTGGTTAATGGTCAATTAATGGGTTTACAGCTCAGCTTTTTCCACTGGCGTTGAGCAGGCTTTGATGCAAAGTATTTGATAACACGCAAAACCAAATTTACCTAATTATTCTGCCAAAATAGCATGCAAACTGGCAATCAATACATTTAATGGCAGGGGTGGGCAAATCATTTTAAGTAAACAATATTTTATTAATTTAGGTTGGTATCTCCATGGAAGAACACATTAAATCAGGCCTTCTTTGATTAGTTGCATGTCATCTGGAAATAAGATATGTGTTGTGTTGTGCAGTGTAATGTCCACACTAACCTGGTATTTGTGCCCCTACAGAGTGCAATAGAATCCCTGTTTGGTGCTTCTATGACAGGAATTGTATACTCGCTGTTTGGTGGACAACCGCTGACTATCCTAGGCAGTACAGGACCAGTGCTGGTGTTTGAGAAGATTCTCTTCAAGTTTTGCAAGTAAAAAAAAACACTTTTCCTATGCACTCACTGGACCAGCATTTGTTTCTTCTGTCACATGCCTTAATGTGCACGTCCACAGGACAACAGTTTGACAATACTAGAATAATATGGCTAGCCAAAATATGACTACAGTAAAATGTTACAATAGGCTTCATGTTTAAGATTATTCATTCATGTCCAAGAGGGCCATCCAGAAATATATAAACATGTATAGGAGCTCTGATGAATTTAGATTTTTTATATAAAAACCTTAAATAATTATTAGATAAAATATATTTTTCAAGAAAAATGTACGTATTAATTATTTCCAACCTGTCTCACGATCAGGAACAGGATATCTAACAGGGATTACCTTATTGTAAGATGAAAAATCAGCTTAATTTTTTTTATAGTTGTATAAGTTGATTATATTTACATTTTCCTCAGGCAGGGTTCTCTTTGACATCACTGAGTGTAATTCCGTATTATGTGTGATATCTAATATGCTATGTGATGAAAAAGTAATCTATCCCTCTAAGCACCAAAGGTCACTGTAGGTTTAGGGACCTTACTTGGTTGACTTTTTCCGGCATAGCCCATATGCTTCTGATACATGGCAAATCAACTTGTATTCAGGTTCTTTTATTAATATAGGTGTAGGGTTTTTGTATAAATTTGGCTCAGAACTGTTCTATAGAGAATATTGTTGTGATTACTGTATATGTATGTGCTTATCTATTGGTATAGTCTCACTCTCCACAAAAGCTCACTGTCCAGATACCTTCAACACAAACCTGATAGGTCTATGATGTGCAAGGAAGGAAAGGACTGTGCTAGGGAAATGACTCCTCCTGAAGTCGTCAAATTTGCTAGCAAGTTCCTAGGCATATTGCAAGTTTTTGTGTAAGGCAAAACAACATGGTCACTTCTGCAGGGTTGAAGAAAAGAATCACTGTATAGGCCCCAAGTCACTTCAGTCAGAGCCGACATAGGGCTGATGACTCTTCCAGTCCCTATGCTACAGCTCTGGTGCCTGTAGATTGGCTACTCAGACACCCAGCACTACATTGTGGGTGGAAGGGGAGTGAAACAGCAAAAAGTTTCCCAGCACACTCACCAGCCAGCGTTCAAAAAAACCTGTCTAACCGCTAAGGTTAAAAACAGAGGTTTTAGATACACGTCTTCTGCAGAATATGTGAAAGCCGCACCACCTCGTCAAGGCTCCTCTGTGTAGTCCGGTTCTAACTCTAACCTATGAGAGTCTCCATCTTGGAGCACATGTAGCAAAAGATAAAATTGGGTGCAGGTTCGCCAGGAGGCAGCCCAACCTCCTTAAAGGCAAAGGCACATACAAGGGACCCCGCACATCACAATGGCAGCTGAGACCCTCAGTGTGTCACTGCACCAAATCATTCAAGCAAAACAAATGGCAAACGCACTCATCAATTCGTCACCAGCTTTACAGCAAGGTGCACATGGAAGGGCTTTATACAGTACAACAGCAAAAAGTTTCCCAGCACCCTCACCAGCCAGCATGCAAAAAAAAAACCTGTCTAACTGGTTATGAGTTGATGAGTGCATTTGCCATTTGTTTTTCTTGGAAGGGGAGTGAGTCACATATTCCCCAGGTCCATAAGTACGCTTTGCTTTAGTAGCAAAGTGAGTTTAAAAGAAAGGTAAGCATATGCAACTTGAGGGAAGGGCGGGGCAGACCCTGCATGTAAAACACGGGTTCACTTTAACCTAATCACTAAAAACTATGATCAAAAGAATAATGCTACACCATGTAATGACAGTAACGCTGCCAATATAAGAAACATTTATGTACTGAAATCCAGTATGGTCAAAAATGTACACCTAAAATCTAAAGATTCACCTGCAACACTGTTGCTACACTACTGGTTTTACTGGAACCTTTGAGCATGGGAGGCTTTTTTGATATTTATATCAGCTTACAAGCCTGCATTAAATTTACATTTTCCCCACTTCAAAAGACAAAATGGCTCATCTTTTTAAGGATCATTGTTATTGCCAGTATATTTTTTTAGGCACACATCAGTAATGGTGCAGCTTATTTCGATTGTGTTTTATTTATGCTCTGAGTAATGCATAATGATGTATTTTATTCATAAATGTACTTCCTGCCTTTAGAGTATGGCGTTCATTTTTTCCCATCATACTTGCTTAGTCTCCTTACCCCTCTTTTTTGTACAGCAGACGATAAAAATAATATTTTCAATGCCTGGACAATGTTTACAAGCTACAACTGTAGCTCTTCATAACTCCCCATGCTCCTGAATTTGTACTTGTACTTTACATACAAAGTAGTGGTCCTACTAAAAGGGTATCTAAACCTTTTTTTTCCCCAAAATGGCATATATTGCATTTTAACAAACTGGGTTTTTTTTTTGCCTGCCTCTGGATCAGCATTGGGTAGTTGTGGGCATAGTGTTCGGGCTTTTCTTCTTTTTTTTTCTCTCTGTATCTCTGTAGGCTGAACTCGATGGACTTTTGTCTTTTTTCAACCTGACTAACTATGTAACTATGTAGATGTGGTGGATTAGTTTTCTTTTTTTATTCTTTTTCCTCATTATTTGTACTTGGTGATCTGGTCAAAAACACACTTCCTGTCTTAGAGTGGCTCCACCCTTAGGCAGCAGCATTGTCAACCTGTAGAGTGGGTAGTGTTAGATGTTCTAGCCAGTGGCGTAACTAGAACCTTCAGGGCCCCGGTGCAAGAAACCATGAAGGCCCCCCCCCCAACCGCAATGGCACCGCATGGTTAACAGGAAGGCTGCAGAGGTCCCCAGCAAGCGTGGGACCTCAGGCAGCCGCTTGTTTAAAATGTTAGTGCGGTGTTCTGTCGAGAACGCTGACCCAGTATCTGCGCTTACGACACAGACGGGATTAACGAGGAAACCGGCATTTATTTACAAAGTATTCGTTTATAATGGTTAATTGTGACCGGTAATAATATGCCGTCCATGGCAGTAAATGAAGGACGGAATATTATTAATGGTCACAATTAACGATTTTAATGAAATACTTTGTGAATAAATCCCCGTTTCCTCGATAATACTGGTCTATGCGCAAGCGCAGATGCTGAGGTCGGCAAATTAGACTACGTCGGCGTTCTCGACAGAACACCGGTATCTGCGTTTAGTATCTGGGCATTTTCACAAGTATGAGTACTCGTGAAAATGCCCAGTATTGGCAGTGGTGTATCCCTACTTAAAAATATAATGCATGGCTGGGACTTGTAGTCCTACACAGTTGGAGCTATTCTGCATTGCTGTATAATCATCATACAGCAATGCAGATTACCACCAGCTGTGCAGGACTACAAGTCCCAGCAATGCATTATAATAAAAGTCGGCTATGCAGAATACCTCCAACACCCCCCCCCCCCCCACTCCACTATAATGCATTGCTGGGACTTGTAGTCCTCTATAGCTGATGCCATTCTGCACTGCTGCAATGCAGAATGGCACCAGCTATAGAGGACTACAACTCCCAGTAATAATTTATACAGAAATGCAGATTAGTTCCATCAGCTATACAAACTCACAGAACATAGAGGCACAGAGATGAAATCACTTACCTTATCTAACTGTCCTCCAGGCTGGAACACCATGCAGCAGGGGTGTGTATTCAGGAAGCTCCTGGCCGAGGCCCCAGCGCTGTCTGTGGAACAATTAGACCCAGTGTGTGGCTCTCTGCCTCACTTGCAGGGCGGCCAAGCGGATGGTGCCCCTGCGCCTCCAACATTCGTTCCCCCGTCCTGCCACTGGTACTAGCGGGCCCCCCTCCTCCTCTCCTTGCCGCCCCAAGTGGCGGAACTACCAGGGCCCGGTCGCAACTGCGACCGCTGCGACCCTGGTAGTTCCGCCAGTGGTTCTAGCAGATTTAGATGGACTTGACTAACAAATTAAATCCGAACTTCAACTAACCCTTTTTAAGCAGTTACAGCAACAGTTTTTTTTCCTTAAGGCCTCATGCACACACAAAGCAAGAGCAAAATTGTATATTGCGTATATGCGCGTACTACGCGATTGTATATTGCGTATATACGCTTATACGCGTGCACTATATGCAATCCCGAATGCATAATTTGTAATCGAAATTTTAATGAACTGTACGCGCGTACGCTGCCCGGACACATCTCAAATCCATTCTGTTTTTGCGCATGTTTACTCTACTCAAATATACAGCTCCATACGCAGCTATGTGTATGGAGCCATTTATTTTCATATGCTGCATATGGGACAATTTACACGTATATACGCAGCGTATTGTATGGCAGTGTGAATGAGGCCTTAGGGATAATGTTTTTACATAATTGAATAAAAGCTGACCATTGTAAACACCCCTGTCCGTGTTAAATGTTTGTCTCAACCGTCTATTTGCCACTTTTGCTGGACAGTTTGGTGTGAAGTTGAAAAATAACACACTTACTGGCTGTATCACTAAGTAAAAATATAGGAAAAGAAAGCTGATACACTGTATATTACATTTTTGTTTGTGGGTTTAGATACTCTTTAATGCATATACAAAGTATGGGATACAAGCGTCATTACCTTTTATGGGAGAATGCAGTGCATGCACAAAGTTAGTGTGGTGCTAAGTGAACCAAGCCAGAGCCCCAGTGGCATTGATTTATTAACCTCCCTGGCGGTATTCCCGAGTGTAGCTCGGGGTTATTTTTCCATACCATAAGCAGTAACCCCGAGCTAGACTCGGGAATGCTGCATAGCATTTACTTACCTTGTCCCTCGAGCCGCGCTGTGTTCTCCGGCCGATGCCGGCATCCGTCTTCCGTCCCTTGCGAGCGTCGCAGGGGGGCGGAAGCGGCGGGATATTCAAAAGAAAAAAACAACAAAAACGAAAAACAATTTTATAAAAAACATAGACCGAAAAATTACACGAAAAAAAGACAAAATCATACCGCCAGGGAGGTTAATGGAATTAAGAATCACCGTTCAATACATTGTAGTTGTGTTCACTTTAAATACCCTATTATGTGTATTTGTAATAATTAAACAGGAATTTGCTTTTTGTATGATTGGATGATTGAAGTAAAAAGCATTCAGTTTATTAAGTGAAGTTTCTCAACTCCTTTAGTAAATCAGCCTCAATGTGTAGTCATGGAAGATATGATTCATCCTGCAGTTTCCTTCCAGTTCTGAGAAGGACCTGAGGTTTTGGAAGTTTAAGTAATGGCTATGGGGTAGTGTACAACCGCATTTGGGATCCACTTGAGGGTTCCATACCATACACAAAACTGATGTCAGAAGCATAATATAAATGTATATGTTTACCAATACTAAAAGTTAACTTGGGCTATGTTCACACCTGTGTGCGTTTTTGCATGTGTTAAGCACATGTTTTGGCAGGTTTCACGCGTGTTGCATTTACAATTTTTACTGTGGGGGCCCTTACTCTTAAAACAAAAAAAATCCCCTGCCAAAAATAGCTGTCGTGCTATTTAAATCAGTCATTTTCCTTATATCAGTCAGTTGGCTGGTCTAATTCAGCTCCAACCTTTATGCTGTTTTGTTAGACTTCTATATTTCTTATTACACACATTATTGTTTTGACAAGAACAAAAAGTAAAGCTGCACAGAAGATATGTAGATTGTACAATGTCATGAAAGAGAAATCTCAGGGAGATAAACTGGAGATCACTGAAAATGTTTAGCAAACAAACAGGCTTATTCAATAAGGCAAAGTAACAAGCACTGATGATGTGCAACATATAGCACGCCATAGCAACCAGTTAAAACAGACATATCTGTAATTTTAAGTTATCTGTAACATATCTTAACTTGTAAGCCTATACGAATAAATCCCTGACGTGTCAAAACACAGCAAGTGTATCATTTAGAAAACAAAGTTACATTTTACCTTTTAAAAAGCAGTTCTTGAGCTCCATTCAAGTCGCAGTGCGTAGGCACCTTACCTTTCGTGAAGAAAGCTCACTGGAAGTTTGACGTTATCTGCATCTGGTGAAGGATGACACATTAAATCAGAAGTCGATAAATTATTTTGGTATTCAGGAGCCATTCTATCTAATCCAGCTGCCACCAGGATTTTTTAGGAGCCAGCCCCATTGACAACTAGAGGAAACCTTAAATGTTAGACACCAGCTGTGATTTGTAAGCAGCATTGACTACCTAGCTCCTGGGATTTGTCCAGTCTTGCGTTAAAGTGACCCTGTCAGTTATACATAAAAGTATACCTGCTATAAAAGAAGCATATTTATGCTTCCCCCTTTCTGGTGGTCTGTTTGATGGAAAGACGCTTTGCTTTGCTCCCTGGCTGTTGTAAATGTTCCATACTTCCAGGTGTGTGGAATACCTTCTTTCCCCTACATGCTGTGATTTCTCCCACTAGCTCACACTTAACTACGGAACGTATGAGCCAGCAGGATGGACCACTGTTCAGTGGGGGAAACGGCTATTTGACCCATCCGACCAGTAAATCACTTCCAGTGGCCAGGGAACAATGAAGCATGGCATTTCATCAAACGGGCCATCAGAAAAGTAAATATATTCACTTTTCTTTAGCAGGCATGCTTTTATATCCAAGTGAACCTATGCTTACAGGCTCATTTTAAATCAATCTCCCCTTCCCTAGTGGTTAGTCACTCAGACTGTGCAATGTAACGTTTTGGCAAGTCACAAAGTGAGAGTTTGATGAAGGGGGCTGAACTATTTGGCACAGCCTGTGTACTGAGAGCCAAAACGTAAAAAATTCCAGGCAAAGTGGATTTTAAAATGTTTTAACCTATATTTTCCATGAGGTCAGTTGAATATTTTTTCACTTCTTAAGATGGTTGTAAGTCCCACTGATCTACTGCCACATTGACTTCCGGTTCGCAGTCGGATCAGTATTACGTGTAATACAGTAATAACGGTGTGTATTACAGTCAACAGTTCTGGTGTTGTGTCTCCGTCCCTCCCTCTGCTGTGCTATTCACAAAGAACAGCTTCAGCATCAACATAGGGTGTGCTTTGTGAATGACGCAGCAGAATGAGGGGGCAGAGGCACAATACCAGAACTGTCTGTCATACACACTGTTCCAATGTGACTGGGGGCGGCTCCAGCTGTACGTAGAGGCAGCAGCTCAGTTGGGCTTACAAAGAAATAAGAAAATACTTAAATGTGCATCTCTGGGCCACCATCCTAGTAAAGATGTAGATGCTGACCCTGCATGATGCCTGCACAAAATGGAAATGGTCTTCCTGGGGAGTATGGAAGATGAAGGCATTGTCAGGGGTTATAATGAACTCTAAATACACCTACAGATTACATGCATGCACTTAACATTAAACCTTTGAGGTCCACTTTAGGACTTCATCTTTTAGAGATCTGAAAACAATAGGTTAAAATATGATTGACAGTGTGGGGTACTGCATGTATTTTGTATTTCACTTTCTTATTAATAGCTATTCAGATGAAAGAAAATATCAGATTAGGGATCACTGAAATGTTTATGAGACATTAGACATTTTCGACAGGTTTTCACCAGTGTCAAACAAAAAAGTATAAAGTTTTTGCTGCGCGTTTCTTACCTCGCGGTATTACCGCGATTTGCGGTAAAAGAAACACGCAGCAAATATGAGTTTCCGAGGGAATATCCGGCTGTATCCTGATGGATACAGCCGGATACGCGCGTTAATACTCCCCAAAGAAGCTCCTGTACTTCTTAGGGCATATGGCATTTTACCGCGCGATCGTAGGCGCGTTAAAACGCGCAGGTGAGAACCATGCCCATAGGCAAACATGGGTTTTCACCTGTTGCGTAAAACGCTCAGGTGTGAACCGGGCTTTAAAGTTGTTATTATTTTTATGTCAGAGATGGTGTTACATTTCTAAATTACTGTCTTTTTATTATTTCAGGGACCATGACCTGTCATATCTCTCATTGAGAGCTTGTATTGGTCTGTGGACATCTTTTCTCTGCATCATTTTGGTTGCCACAGATGCCAGCTCATTGGTCTGCTACATCACCCGTTTCACAGAGGAAGCCTTCGCCTCACTCATCTGTATCATTTTTATTTATGAAGCCATAGAAAAGCTGATTCACTTGGGAGAAACATATCCTGTTCACATGCACAGCCAGCTGGACAAGCTAACCCTATATTAGTAGGTGGTTTACCTCTTTGACATTATATGGTGTGTTGTTTGTGTGCTTACCATAGTTAATGTTAAACTAACAGGTTAAACATATTAATTTTACCTGTGTACAGTACATCATGCTGTAATGTCAAAAGGGGGAAAAGCTTTTTGAGAAACCTTGGCGTTTACCAATCCAATCCACCAAATTGTGCATTATGAATTTTTGTAATTTGTAGACCTTACTGATTTTATTGTGAGTTTGCACTAATTCTTTTAAGCTAAACTTTGGGAAGTTTGTGAAGAATATAATGCTGCCTTTTCTAAAGGAAGGTGTGTTGGGGGAGCACTATGAAGCTGAGTTTACCTGGGCCAGGGTTGGACTTTATAAAGACCCTGTCACTTTGCTTTGAATGGGCAAAGCAACAGGTTTGCTTTAATTCTCCTCTCCCCAACAGCATATATTCACCCTTTCTTAGCAGTGATCAAGTGAATAATATCTCCAAATGATCTACAAAAGTAAATCACATGCATATAACATTTGTCACAGAAAATTATCATGATTTCCCATCCTGAACATCCAGTGACCAACAATTAATCACCCATTCTGAAAAAGAAAATTAAATAGAATTATTGTATAGAATTGTTTTATTTTTGAATGAAACATAATATATAATGTGTTTATATAATATTACTTGTATGCGAATAAGCAAATTTGGTGAAAAGGGAATCAGTGGATGTCTGTTCATATATAAAAGTCGTCAATACTCAAAACTGAGAGAGCCCCCCATCACAAAGTCATTATCAAATAGTATAGTCATCTATTATAAACAGAGTGTCGCATTAAATATCAATATTGCACTTGTGATACCATACATCTGATGAAACTTATTTTATGTATGTTCTGTTTTATCATTTCTGAAACCTGTATTTGCATAACTGCATGTCCTCCAATGTGACTATGTGTTACCTTGAAAACTCTAATAGAAACTAATTATGGGGAAAAAACATAACAGTCAGCCTTGCCAGCCAACAGTAGTGGCCTAATTTGAACCAGCTCCTATGTGGGTAACCTAGACTGTTTTTAATTGAGGCACAAGGATACCCAGTGTTTTGTGTACTTCACTAACTATAAATAGCCCTACTTACCTAATGTACTGAAAGAGTAGAGCACCTTCACTTTTAAAGTAAATGTTCACTAAAGCTGGTCATATACCTATAGATTTTCTGCAGATATTCTATGGTCAGCTGGAAAAGTGCAACAGATTCCTCCATCTACGGTAAGCTGTGTTGATGGAGGAATCTCCCACTGGGCCAAGCTTCAGTATCTTGCTAGTCGGCCCCACTGGCTCTCAAAATACCTGAACAATGCCTACATCCAATCAGATTGTACAGGTATTTTGAGAGCTAGCGGGGCCGACTAGCAAGATACTGAAGCTTGACCCAGTGGGAGAGTCCTCCATCTACACAGTTTAGCGTAGATGGAGGAATCTGTGGCACTTTTTGCATCTGACCATAGAAAATCTGCAGATAATCTATAGGTTTATGGACAGCTTCATTCTAGTGAAATAAAGTGAAAATTCACATTGCAAAGAATACCCAATCACATGCACGGAAAATTAAAAAACAGAATTTTAGCTTGCAAATGATTGGAGGAATAAAGTCAGTACAACTTTACCTCATTCCCTAAGTTAAGTGAAAATTGTTTTTGCAAGTAGGAAACTTACTCTGCAAAGAGACAATTTATTTAGCTTAGTAAAGGTGACATTGTGCTGACTCCAGTCATCCAATCATGTGCAAGCAAAAATCATTAAAAAAAATGCACATGATTGGTTATTCTTTGCAAAACTAATTTGAATTGTTTTATCTCATTCACTAAGATAAGGGAAATCTCACTTTTAAAATGAACATTAACTACTGCTTTTGTAAATCAACCCAATTTTATCTTCCTATAAGAAGGTACACAAGATTTGCAGAAATGCCACACAAGCTGGAGTGGGTAATTTATTTATTTTTTTACATCCTTTGTAAGCAACACAACAATGCACTTTTTATGTTATAAAATGTGCCTGGAACAATGTTGCATAAAATAATGTGGTCTTAGAAAAGTCTCCTTTAAAGGTTTTGGTGGTGGTAGGAGGGGCTGCTCATACAGTACATCCCCTGTAGACAAAGTATGCCGAAGTATGTTCTGAATTGCAGTGGTTTAGTTCCATAAGCAGACATTGAACTGATGTAACTATTAAGTACAGCCATATGTAATATGCATCATTATTTGTTCTGTCCAGCTGTAAATGTGCTGCTCCGGAGGTACCATCCAACAAGACCTTGCTGTTCTGGAGTTCAAACAACATAAGCTTTACTGAAGATGATTGGTCCAACCTCACCGTTAGTGTAAGTACACTGTGGCTCTGGATAAACAAAGTGTCTGTTTCCATATGTTTTGTTATTTATGTGTATCACATTAATGTTTTTATTTTATTATATACTATGACAGTTCACTGTTCCCTAAGAAATATTGGTATAACCACCGCTGGGAAGCGCTTTTGCACAATCCTATAGTGCAAGTGTGGACACGAAAACAAGTTCTGATCACTCGTATATTTATGGCTACCAAACAAACTATTGCCAGATCATGGAAATCTCCTGCTCTTAGTTTCTTGGAAGTAAAGAATAGGATTACGGGTAGTATGATTAATGAGACATTGACTTCCATATTAGTGGATATCCATATCAAATTCTTGAGGATTTGAAGACTGTGGATATCTTATGCAAGCCCTCAACATTTTGTTCCCGTATTGTCATCTTCATAGCCTTGCTTTGTTATTCGGACATATGCCCACTTGACCTTTTCTTTTCCTTTTTATATCCCTTTTTCGCTACTCTTGCTTATTTTCCCTTCTTTTTTATTTTCCTGCTTCCTTCTTTCATTTCTCTAGCCTGCTATTGAGTACCAGGCTTCTAGAGTTTCCCTACCTGAAAGCCAGGCCCGTTTAGTACATTATTAATAGGATCAAACTCTTCAGAACCATAACTATTTGTTCATTCTGATGGATGGCTAATGCCTAGCACTTGAGTCCTGTTGGAGTAGTGAGGACAATTAGATAAGGCATTGGCTTTATCTTTTCTCAATTTTACACCTAATGGTGATATAAATGTTTTTTCTTAATGGAGAATGAAGAATTCACCGACACTCCAAAGTCCTGACCTAAAGTCAAATCCTATTTATTGACATTGCAAAGAAGTGTGTAGCAACATTTCGGAACCCATTTTGGTTCCTTCCTAAGGCAAACAGAGTGACAACCAACAAAAGATATAGAATCCTTTATATACACACAAAAAAATGCAATGAAAAAGATGAAAACAGCACCTCTGATGTCACTATGACATCACATTCTTGACAGGAACATATTGCACACAAGCACTCACAATTACACCCATACGAAAATAAATTGCACATGTATTAACCTCATAAGTCTGTATAAATATGCCACAGGAGAGCTCTTCACTTACATGCTAAAGAAGGCACATATGGCCGAATGGCTGAGGAGAAGCAAAGCTGTCAGGGTCATGCCACAGAGACCGGCGTCGCTTCACATACAGATAGTTTGGAATAGGCAGCAATGGTAGTCCATAACAAGTGTAGCTGCCCCCAAGCTGGAATCAGCATTGGATCCTTTGGCCGGTGCAAGCGCTCTAGTGTAAACTGAGTGTGTGTGCGGTGGTGCAGTGATGTTATGGTCCTTCCTGCAAGATCCTGGGAATGCTGAGGATCCAAAATCTCACAGAAAAATAATCTATCACAGTGTAGGAGCAGCTTCTAGGGAGACTTGGGATCCTCAGCAATCCCAGGAATTCGCCAGCAATGTGTAAGATGGGTTTCCAGTGGCGAATACAAGTAGCTGTTTCAACACACATTTCAGAGGCATGGTTGACTGCTGTGACCATCAGGAAACCTGCACTGAGAAATGCTATGCAACCATCGCAGGAGTGCAGGCATGTATACAGGAAGTCATATTTCACCGAGTTGCACTAAATGATGAAAAAAAGGTGGAAATAAGTATTTTGGTAAAGTAAAAAGAACTGTCAATTGTTTATGATACAAAGGGCATCAGCAATCTAAATGTCATTCAGTTAGGGCTTACATCTACTTCAACCACTTGCTGCCAGTAACTGTATTTGCAGCACCTGGAAATAAATGATTCCACTGACATAGCTATCAAGAACACTTAAAAGGTTAGGGCTAGTGTAGCTCAAGCCTTGTAAATATCCAGAGACCAAGTGATTGAGCTGAATTCTACATCTCGCCATATATGACTTTGTATTCTGTCAGACCTTGAGCAAGAAATATGTATAGTAAATGCTACATGCGTGTGAACCCAGTTGTTAAAATGTGGGTAATAGCTTTTAGGAGATCCTGAGAGTGCAACATGTGTCTTTTATCTTTACCTTTAGGAGTTATTTTCCACTTTGAACAGATTATGAAGACTGATTTATTTCCATGTTTACTAAGGAGCATCAATTATTACACCTAATGAAGTGATACATTTTTATTTTTTAGGAATGCAGAGGTATGCATGGAGAGTTTGTAGGCCCAGCCTGTGGACACCATGGGCCATATACTCCAGATGTTCTCTTCTGGTCCAGCATTCTGTTTTTTACTACATTTGCATTATCCGGTACACTGAAGACTTTTAAAACAAGCCGGTACTTTCCAACCAAGGTAAGTGATCTGAAAAAAAAGCAATTTATTGGTATTGTTCTAGTTTTTTCTTTTAGCTGGAACATCAAGTGCCAGAGTGCTGTTACACTGATAACTCCAAACATAGTTCCTAGTGGAATGTTCTCTACACTATACATTCTATAAAAGATTATAAGTACTGATGATGTGTTTGATTCTAAGGACTTTCATAAGTATGACTTTCACAAGCAGATGTGGGTCACATTCTAGATGGCCTACCAGTGTTATCCTGACAGGGGGAGCAGTGTATGTTAATGGTGTGGTTTCCATGTTATCATCATGTATGTTTCATGATAGAAACTCTCACTTTTACTTTTTCCATTGGCATAGTACTTTTTTTAAGACTCTGGAATAAGGTATAGTATTCATAGGCAAAAGCGAAGAAACCGGCATTTCAAGTGATCCTCTTTATATGTAGACTTTATTAATTACGGCATAGAAACAGCATACATAAACTTTGACGCGTTTCAGGCCCTGGTGTTAAACTTTTAGTAGGAAGGATTTGAATGTATAGAATAAAAGTTTTTTGTATTTTTACTAAAGCCTGGTTAGTGTCCGCTGTAGCTGTTTACTATAAACTGTTTGGATTGCTAACATTTTTCTGCTTGCTATTCTTCTCCTATGAAATATTTTTTGGAATATGTCTATATCATTTTTGTATATTAATATATTGAAATGTTCTGGTAGGTTTCAGAGGATAAGTTTGGACATTTGGAATCTGTATAACAACGGGTTAAATACGATACAGAAGGATTTTCTGCTTTTCTCCATGAGTGGAATGAGTTAACCGTCCAAGTGTCAGTCTTTGTCCATAATAGCTGTAGGTGGGTGGGTGGGTTTTTTATAAGTTTGTATTTTAATTGCTATGACTTAGGCCCGTTGGAGGGACTGAAAGTCATCTCAAGTATCGGTATGCTGTTTTTATGCCGTATTAATAAAGTCTACATTTGAAGAGGATCCCTTGGAGTGCTGGTTTCCATCAATTTTGCATTTGTTCTGGGTCAAGCAGAGACTTTTACCGAGTTCCTTGAGGAGATTTGGCTGAGAAGGTTGAGCGACTTTTTTCTTTGCTTGCATAGTATTCATAGGGCTTTTATTTTATATACTTATTTTGTAGTTTTGTGTAACAGATTTTTTTATTCCGAAAAAACAACAACTCCCCTTGTACCTCCACACTGCAAGGGTTAATGGCTCATTTTTGTCTAGGGGAATTCTGTAAAGCACTTTTACTTACTTGATTCCCGCTCCTGTGGGCTCTAAGACCGGCACCCGCAGTCTCTTCCCCATTCTGCTCCAACAGTCAGAGGCCCGCTGACATCATCATGTCTAATGCATCAGGTCCATAGCCCTGCGTTATACCTGAGGACACCAAGGGACAGTCCACAAGGGTAGCCCCTTTGCAAGGGGAGTTTTTTTTATACCCGAAGATAGGCTTTAACTGCTTCATTTAAATTGACAGTAGTGTCTACTGTTATATGAACTATATATATTGTCCGTTGTAGCTATCTAAAACAAGAGAATAGTAAATTATTATTAGTAGACTGATGATGACAATTTTGGTAAAGATTATGACCTGATTAGGTTTTGTGTTGCGGATGTGGGCTTGCGTTTACAGGCACTGACCTTCAGATTTCTTTGGCTGTCGCAGATTAATTGGCAGCTGTTATTTCACCAGCATTTGTTTGGGTAGTCGAATGTTGTCTGGAACTTGTGGTGAGGCCAGGAATTTAGGCTCTTATGAGATAGCTTAGGTTCAAAGAGTTTAGATTTGACAGGTACAGAAGTTTTTTTATTGTCTATGGTTATTTGGAATGATATTAGTTAATAAAAGTGTGGCATTGTCCTTTCCAGTTTGAATTTTTTTCTGAACTAATAAATGTTTTTACAATTTCAGACCCATTATAATTTTCTAAAACACATGAGCAATATTAGTAAATGATATGGACAGTACAGGTGAATTTACCCATATAGTAATTCATTTCCTGCTTGTGCCATCCATTTGTATCAGGCCAGGTGCAGACCTACGCGTTCCGGGATCGTGCGGTCCTGCACAATGCAGGCCACGATTGCTGCGTGGCCCCATTGATTTCAATGGGGTGATATCCGCACAGCAATCGCAGAAAAATGGTACATGTACCTTTTTTTGCGATACACGACGTGCGACTGTTTTAGCCGCAATCGTGTTCGGAAGCATGGGTGGAATCGTGGCGGAAAACCGTGAGATCCGTCTGGCGCGACTGGGGTGCCATTGTAAAATAATGGCACCCACAGCGTGATCGGTGCAGACTAGGCGACTCCTGACCGTGCAGCTAGGTGTCGCGTAGGTGTGCACCGGCCCTCAGCACTTAAATGTATACACAGTACTTTTTATTTAAAATGAAGCAGCATTTGAGTAATTATTTCACTAATTTATTGTTTTTACATCTAGGTCCGCTCAATGGTCAGTGACTTTGCTGTATTTCTCACTATTTTGACAATGGTAATCATTGACTATCTGATTGGCGTTCCCTCACCAAAGCTTCAAGTCCCAAATGTATTTAAGGTAATGGATATTTTTTATGATGCAATCCCATCTCATTTCCCTTTATCTATATATGTTGTACATTTGCCGATGCTCCTCAGCTCCATCTAGTGCCAAGAATGCTGTGTGAATGACATTTGGCCAGCATACGACTGGGTGGATGATTTATGAATGCCCTAGGTCTTAACCCCAAATGGAGAAAGCAAATAGAATCTACATTGTGCTTGAATTAAATGTGTAGAAGCAGCTTTAGGTGGCCCAGCCTTGGAGATGACCTATAGCAAGGGTAGGCAGCCTCAGCACTCCAGCTGCCATGAAAATACAAATCCCATCATGCATCTGCCTCTTGTAGTCATGCCTGAGGCTGTCAGAGTCTTGCAGTGCCTTATGGGTCTTCTTTTAGTTCCACAATAGTCAAGGTTGACCTATACTCAAATGTTAACAGTCTTGCTGAAATGGGAAAATAAAGGACAGTTGAAGGGCTGATTTACTTATCTTCTCAAAAGAAAATGTTTCTCCTTTCAGCACTGACCATGTGTTGTCTATGAAGGAGACGATCAGAGTTCAGTATGGTTGATCCTTTCTTTCAACAGAGATCATATGACTAGGAACCTAGACTTTTGATTATGCGAGCAGCATTTTCTCCAGTGATTTGTAGCTGTCAACTCATCAGCTTCCAACAAAAAAAGTCTGTGAAACCTATCTCTGAACACAGGAAGTTCTAGGTGTATATATGGCAGGACTTCCACTTTTAACCACCATAGCTCAGCAAAATTGATTTAAAATGTCATATTTCATGTAGGTCCCTGAACTTGCATGCTAAAAATTGTACAGTTGGAGACTGTAAGTCATTGAAGACTTCTAGGTGGAAAGAAAAGCTTTTACGCCATTTAACAGTTCTACACGTTTATAAACATTTTCCTTTCTTCAATTAAAGCCAACCAGAGATGACAGAGGATGGTTTGTAAACCCTATTGGGCCAAATCCCTGGTGGACCGTTTTTCCTACAGTCATCCCAGCCCTTCTTTGCACCATTCTCATATTTATGGACCAGCAGATTACAGCTGTTATTATTAACCGAAAGGAGCACAAACTTAAGGTAAAAAAAAGTATGGTGAAAAGTAACATTATAACTGTTACCATAGAGACCACTACTGTAAATGTATGTTTCACCTATAAGAACAATACCCAAATCCTGAATCATTGACATTTGTGATATTTTTTATTTGATAAATAATATTCTTTTTGCAATGAAGTGTTATTAACTGAAAGCGTATGCGCCCCCTTTACCAGCCATTACTTCCCAACACTACTTTAGTGGAGAAAAAGGAAATGTAATTATGCTACAACAATTTTGTGTTAACTTGAAAAAGTGCACTATAAATATTCATATAATTTATTCACTATTCATTTATAGTGGATAAATATTCACTATAAATATAGTGCACTATAAAATTTTATCTGTATCTCTCATAATTTCTTATACGTATAGTGATCTGAGATGGTCTGAGAAGACCATAACACTTTCAAAACACAAGAAATTCTTTGATTACCTCCCCTTACTTCTCCTACACTTTATATGGACTAAATGACATGTGTAATTTAACGTAGGTACATAAAGTATGTGACATAGATGTCAAACACCTCTTTCTTTAGTAGTTACTCAAATTGCACTTTATCTGATGTTTGTCATGCCATGCATCTCTCTCTTCCATGTCTCCCAGATTTTGATTTTTTTTTAAATCAAGCATCATCATGTTTCTTGTCAAAAACATGAAGAACGAGAGAAGGACATGTAAGGTCTGATAAGAATTCCTTGGCTTGTTAGCACTGTTTAGCCTTGGAACACTGTTAAAGTGGTCAGGCGATGTGTGAAATACACAGATGTTGTTATTTTCAGGTTTTCTCACTGTTCTGCCTCCCCAGTCTAAGCATTGAAAGTGTGATCTCAGTAACTTACAGTTGTGGCAGGATGGCAGGAATTTACATTCTCAGTAGAGTTGGCAGATAGTGGCTCAATCCAGATGACTCTTCGAAGGTCATTGAGAAGTGTAATCCAAACTGTGCAGATCTTGAAAACAGCGCACAAAGGATAGCTCAAAAGATCATAATATGATCCACTTAACAAGGACATGTGGATGAGATGCTGACAAGGACATAATGAAGAAAGGTAGAGCTATCTATACAGAGGAAAATTGAATGTAGAGGGGTGGAGACAAAACACCAGAAACAGATAAAGCAAATAATATTTAAAGTAGGGATGTTCAGATACCAGTGCCGATATTTGGCATTTTCATGAGAACTACCGGGGTTGCAGCAGTTGCGACTGGGCCCTGGTACTCCACTACTGTCCTGAAATCATTAGTCTGTATTTTTTTAGAAAAACTGTCATATGACATGTTTTATGTACACTTTTTTGCCCAAGTACAAGTATCTTTTTTATATCTTTTTTAGATCTTTTTTGCCCAAGTACAAGTATCAGTACTTGGTCTGGAAAAAATGGTAATGGTGTATCCCTAATATATATATATATACAGGGCTCAAAATTTCAAGTCCTGAGCTACTAGCCAGGCCTTAAGAGTTAATCGCCACCAGTTGCCCCACCTAACCCCAACCCTGCCTCGGCCTTAACTCCGCCCCTAAACCAACCCTCTTAAATTATCTTATGAAATTACACTTTTAAATGTTGAAGGCAGAATAAAGTTACAAAAATAAATATTAACAACAACAATATTAAGATAAAGCAATGTAAACATTGCGGCCCTCCACATCCCCACATATAAAATAAATACCCTCCCCCCCCTTCTCTGCCTCCCCCCATATAAAATAATACCCCACCGTTCTATATATATATACATATATATATATATATATGTATATATATATATAAAACAAATCATACATTAAAACAGGGGTGCACAAATCCCATGAGCCCTAGCTGCCTCCTAACTTTTGAGTTTTTTTCTATTCTAGCCTTGAAGCTGGAAAATTATCAGTACTTGTACCAAGTAAGGTGGTACTTGATATCTGAACATCACTAATTTAAAGGCATTTCACAATGCATGTGTAACATGACACTCGTCAAAAATGTATTTCCAAAGTACATTGTAAGGTGCATTACTAGAGGGATCTAGAGTTAATGCTTGAAACACACTTCCAGCAAAGATAGTGAGTAGGCCAACAGTAAGTGAATTAAACATGCTTGAGCCAAACATAGATCTCAAAAACAAAAGGGTAAAAAAGTAATTAAAAGGGACAAACTTGACGGACCACTCTTCTATGATTCCTTTTCTGGTTCTTAACTGCTTTTGGAACTTCTCTAATTTCCATTATGAGAAATTTCCAATTCATTTTGCAGTTTAGCTACCAACTGAAAAATACAATGCAAAACAGGTTTTGCATTGTATAAAGTCTTAGGCTTGACATCCTCCAAGATGTTGACAACCAATGTAAAAAAATATTTTATTGTCCAACCCACAGATACTAATTTTTTGATTCCTTTCTCTTTGGCAGAAAGGATGTGGTTACCATCTAGACCTACTCATGGTGGGGATGATGCTGGGAATCTGCTCAATCATGGGATTGCCATGGTTTGTTGCTGCTACTGTGCTGTCTATCACCCATGTAAATAGTCTTAAACTGGAGTCGGAGTGTTCAGCACCAGGAGAGCAGCCCAAGTTCCTCGGGATCAGGGAGCAGAGAGTGACGGGGCTGATGATCTTTGTGCTTATGGGCTGCTCTGTCTTTATGACTACAGTGCTAAAGGTGAGAAACACCATCGTCAAATCAGAATAAATGGTCAGAAGTGTTAAGAATGTGCTGAATGTTTTATATGTCTTTTTTTTACTGTAATTCATATGTTCATGAAAATACAAGGTCTGCTTTTTTTTGAGATCCCCACTCCCCTATGTAAAAATTGCTAAGTCCACTTTTTAAGTGGACCTCCCACTTATTGAAATGCAGCATAAACATTTTGAAAACACCTGTAGGGGGGAAAAGGATACATAATATACGTACCTCTCCTCTGGCTTTTGTGGTACATGAGGTGATGTTATCCTCCTGCTGATGAGATCCCAGAGAATGGTAAGTACTCCAACTTTGGAGAGGAGATGCTGGATGATGTCACCCTCTTCCATGTGCCACAGATGAAAGCTGGGGGAAAGGTAAGTATATTATGTATCCTATCTAACATTCCCACCTCCAACAGATGGTTTTACATTTTTATTTATTACAGGCATTTATATAGTGTCAAAAATTCATGCGGTCTGTGTCCCCTCTGATGCCCGCTGCTCTCCCCCGCCTGTATCGGTAAAGGCAGCAGGGCTTGTTTAGTAAGATGATACCCAGAGCAGTGAAGATGTGCACAGTGCTGTATCCTATAGCAGTCAATCACAAATAATCTTTCTCTGCCATGACTACTATTAACCAAAATCTGTGTGGTGCTACATTATTAAACATGCTTGGACTAAACATGTTTTTCAGTTCGTGGAACTTATGAACAATGATGTTCTTGTATGTTGTGTTATTGTCTTACAGTTTATTCCAATGCCAGTATTGTATGGAGTGTTCCTCTATATGGGAGTATCTTCACTGAGAGGAATTCAGGTAAGGGCTATAATTGATATCTTGTTCTACAAGTCCTGAAAGTTAATTTCCAGGCAAATAGATACATACAGAGATACTGTATACAGTATGATCATTGCTTTATTACCTGCAAAAGGATTTTAAATTCTGGCCAGTCCGTCGCCTGATTTACACACCTCTTGCCCACTGGACAGCCATACAGGAAACATGTTATCCCTGTTTTACTGGTTCAGCTTTGCAGGTTTCTGTGCCACTTTTTCATTTTCTGTTCTTTCAAATGTTGTTAGTACTAAAGCTTCTGCCCATTTTTTTATAATTTATACTAACCAAACTTTGCTATTAATTTCTTAGAGAGTAAACATTCAATATTCTCTCATTTAAAAGCAGGATATTTCAGTTAACATCTTTACCTGTTCTTGCAATGCATCCGACAGCCTGAAATATTTTGTATCTGTGCCCCTTACCTGTACTCTTCCATGCTATATAACAGCTTAGCTTTTTATAGAGTAGAATGGGGAGTCTGCTATTACATTTTTTGATGCTCTAATATGTGCAGGTATGACATATTGAGTAGAAGCAGTGACTGCAGTTAGAACTATTTTTTAGTTCTTTGTCATGTTTATTCCAGAAAATGTGTGGGTTTTAGGTTTTTTTTCTGAAATAACACTGTGGTTATGTTGTGTGGCTAGTTTGGATGCAAATATAGCTTATCAGAGTTCTTCTCTAAAGTTGACCTGAACTCAAAAAATGTAGGTTTGCTATGTAATACAACATGTAAAAATGTGCATTGTGCCTAAGCACTGTGAGAAATTTACCTTTTGCGTGGAATATCTCCTTAATGTAGCAGTGCATTTCTTGTAATGTGAGTGTGACTTGACTCCTATGCCTACAGCAGAATAGCTGCATATCTGCAGTCTGAGATCTAAGGCACTGCTGCCTCTGATTGCTAGTCTCGGGATATTTGGAATAAGATTTGGTATTGTCACTATTGTTCTGCTCACTGTTCTCCTTGAAGGAAGCTCTGACATGAGGGAACAAAACCCTGCCTCTGGCAAAAAGGCCACCTCCACACAGACAATGCAGAGCAAGCCATGGTAAGTCAGTAATGGGGAAAAGATCAGCTGGAGGGAAACCACAAGCAACACTGGTGATTAGTACTTTGCCTTCTGCCTGCCTTCCATGGTTTAGTTTCTCTTTAACCTTAGTGAGCTCCCCTATGCAATAGCGATTAAGTTAATACACAAAATACTCAAAAATGTTTAAAGCCCCGGCCCAACGAACGCACGCATACTAGCACAAATACGCGTCGGGTGCGCCTACGTATGAAAATGATGATTGGGCCACACGTGTTAGGTATCACCATGTGTGCCAGAGTGAAAGCAATAATTCAAGGGCCAATATTCATGGCTGACTCTAAACTGATGACTTGTGCATATTTTTAAAGAGGGCGTATAGACAATGTAGTGTAATACATTGTTTAGCCATTTCCCGGGCGCACGCAATTTTTAGGCTTGGCATATTGGGTGTCTATTTATCCGGCACAACCTCATCTTTCATATCTTACAAAACAATTGGGTATTAAATTGTGTTTTTGTGCACTGCCTGGATGGGAAGGGGGTTTAACACCGCGGATGTCAACTGGTTAATGCACCTTATATGGAAGACATGTTCAGCTCTCTGTGTCTGATTAACAGATTTGTAAGTCCTTAATTCTGATTAGCAATGCTAGAAGGTCAGGTGTAGGAAGATGCCATGCCCATTATTATGCAGAGATGTCAACTTGGAAAAACAGTCTATAGGGTGAAAAGGGAGAAGCACATGCTGTGGCAAAAACTAGGTGTGACTGAATCATTTAAAGGGCGTAAACACGTGTAATAAAAAGGTCAATTGCAAATTAATCCCAGTATTATTCCCAGCATACAATATCATACATACAAAATCAGTTTTGTACTAGTTTATGTATAAATATATGGCAGAGCCGCATTCACACATACAGCATAGGAACAGATACCAACGACTGAATACAGCATACAGAAGATGTGACATAGTACTGTGCCATATGTAAACAGCATAGTACAAATACACAGCATTTTACACACATGTACATATCAGAATTGTTTTGCAAAATATTGCCAACTTTGCAAAGAGGGTCAGTCAAATTTCTTGTGGATAAGAGGAATTCAGGTAGATTTGTACATCAAAGGGGTAGCATGCCCAGCATTTTAGCCCCTATTCTCAAAGCTTGACAGCACTTGACATGAGGAATTCCATTATTTTCATGGGTGCCCATCCACATATGAGAGTTGTGTTGCCTGTCACTTGTAGCTTGAAAGCGTACATGAACTTCTCTTTGGGCAGAATCACATGTTTTTGGCCCCATAGACTTCAATCGTCTCATCCTCCTAGTAACTAGCTTTCCATTGGCTAAAACAAAAACGCTTACCGTATAATTAAAGTTCGTTTTTAGTTAGCATTAGATATATGCCCCATGGTTCAAAAAAATAAAAAATTAGGCAAATACCTAATTACTTACCTGTTCCAGCGCCACTCCCTCCCAGCTGAAGCTCAGGAATGGCTGTGAAAAAGAAATGCGCAGTAGAGCGGAGGAGGGAGAAAATGAAACTCAATGGATTCAGCCAGGATAGACACCGTGGGACACGAGCAGTCTTCTGTGGATCAGAGACCGGCACCAGCGCTGGAGGGACTGTCGGAAACGAGTGGAAGCAAAAAGATGATCGGATCTTTTTAACCTGAAAGCACCTAAAAAATTTGCAAAAAACACACTTCAAAATTGCCTGAAAACACTCAATACCAGGTGTTACTAAGTGGGAGGGGTGCGGGTTGGGGTGAGTTAACACCATTGAATCATGGCTAAGGCAAGGTGCGCTTCTGACTAGGGATAGAGACAAATCATGCTCACTGTATTTAGGTGATAAAGATTCTGCAGAATCCTCACAAAGGAACTTCATGAAACCCCTGAGGTCAGCACAAAGTACCCAAACTGAATGTCTTTGTGGTACAATCAATCTTGATAATTAACCCAGTTTCTGACAGCCCTTTTTTAATCCACTTTGTCCTACCAGGCGCCATGCCAGCATACATAAATTAATAGAGTGTGCAGAATGCCAGTTGACAAGAGGCAGCACTCTTTGTCCTCATTGGGAGACAGAAAGATTGTGCCTTTTCTATCACTGGAAGATTGGCAGGCTATTATTCCTTGTGTGCTGGTAAATGCTCCCGGGTGCCCAAGTAATTGTTCTCTGCAAATCCCCCATGAAATACGTTATATTCTACCTGTCTGGGACAGCTGCTGTGTACATCCATAGCTGTCAGGGCAACCAGTAAAAAGTGGTTGCTGACAATCGGTTCTAGCAGCTGCTAATTGCATTGGGATATACTGTAGGTATATATAGAGGAGGAAAGAAAGAACAGTACAGGTAAAGCGAAAGACGCATGAAGTGCGACTTTTATTGCCCAGTTTCCAGATCTATTGTTAGAAATGTACAGTGTCTCCCTATACACACGCCCGAGAGTTCAGGAACTCTATGTTTTTTCCTTTCTTGTTTGTATTTCTTTTCCTGAGTATTAAACCTGTATTAACCTGAGTATTAAACATTCATAAGTCACTAAAAGGTTGAATCACCTCATATTTACTTGGCAGCAAATACAAATGGGTGCCAAATGTTGTGTCTCTAGAGGAAGAAGCAGAGCACATCGAGGAATTTACTATTCGATACATTTCAACTTAAAGCCACACTCTGGGCAAAATGATCATTTATACACTGCACTGAGTGTGTAAATTATCATTAAAATGCTGTTTGTCATGTGCATAGAGCAGCATGGCCAGCTTTCGGGCGATGAGGAGAGAGAGATGCGACCAGAATCGCACAGCACTACAGACACATCACCCGCCCCTCCTCACTATCCTCCATTCAGAAATTGTCTTGTAATTTTTTTAAAAGACAAGACATTCTGGGGGGAATTTATCAACACTGGAGAAGACAACATCTGGAGCTGATTTGCACTGCAGCCAATCAGCTTCATTTTCAAATCTTACCTGGGCAAACTGAAGAGAGATGCGGATTAGTTGCCTTGGGTAACTGCTCCAGATTTTGTCTGCTCCAGTTTTGATAAATTCCCTTCTCTGTGTTTGCAGGAGGAGAGCTGATGTCACATACCCTCTCCTCCTCCAATCACAGAATGTGGTTTATTTTTTAAAAATTACAAGACATTTTCTGAATGGAGGATAGTGAAGAGAAGCGCTCTACAACTTGGGTCTCTTCAGTGCCCGGAAGCTGGGTGTTCTATGCGGGGGACAGGGCGAGGTAAGATTTTTATACTTTGCATCCACCCTCCACACATAACACCCAGTTTTGTAATGATAACTTACACACCCAGATATCTGACTCTACACCAGCGATGGTCTACTCATGCTACATAATCCTTTTAGGGACTGCAGACATGCAACAGGAGATGGTCTAAAACTACACATATGCAACAAGACATGGTCAAAGAGTGCAAACATGCTATAGGAGATGTTGGTAAATGGGGACATGCTTCAGGAGACAGTCATAGAATGGGAACACATTTCATGAGACTGCAAGACATAACTGCTATTATAGGGAAACACAGGCTACTGTCTGCCAGTGTCCAAAAATTGCCAAAGGACAGCAGGTTGGGCTCAAGGGCTCTACACTCGCATGAGAAATAGCACAGAGACACAACAGTGATATATTTCACATAGCAAAGATGCTTTAACATTCAGCAGTCGCTGCACTGTAGGTGAACTAATGATTTTAAGTGACTGCTATAAGTTAAATTAAATCACAGATGTTTCCAATGCATCAGTAACTTTGTGTTAAATTATATTTATTTCAGTATTTTCTGGGTATTTAACACTTTTCTGCCCAACCTTTTAAATTGATATCCTGCTCAGCCACTTCCACTGATGTAATCGCCTTATTATACGTTAAAAAATCAGCCTTGCAAATGGGGTGCCTGTTCATTAAGTTGACGGAAGCAAGGAGGCAGTACATGGGTGGAAGAAGAGAGCTTAGGAGGGTGGAAGAAGAGAGCTTAGGAGGGTGTCTGTGGCAGTGTTCACTATTAGTACCCGGAGCTGGCAGGAGGTGGGGCTGTGTTACAGAGTCTGTAGCATCCTGTGGGCCATGAAAAGTTGTCACCACTGTATTTACTGTACAGGCATACTGCACAGAGCATGTCTATCAGCTTTCAAATCTTTTTAAACAGCATGTTCAGTTGTTTATCTGGAGTTGCACTTTATGTATTTGCATTTTACAGTAAACCAGAAATGGTAGAGTAGAAATGGTATGGTAAAAATGGTAGAATTGTTATTATGACTCTTGCAGTCCTAGAGCAAAACATGTCCTGATTAAATTTAATAACTCTTCAAGTTTTTTCTGAAAAGGCCCATATATATATATATATATATATATTTTGCATATATTAAGGCAAAAGTAATGTACAAGGTACAGTGAACCATGATAACAAGCAGTGGTAAGCAGTCATTAATCTTTGTTCTCATAGAATGTGATCGCTAACAAGCTTTTATGTACATCAGAGATTTTTTTTGTTTGCTGTCTCCCCATTGGGTAGATCATCCTTCATTTCCTGTCACATAGACTAACAGGAAGTAAAAGGAAACGTCTGTCACCACAGGTGTCTTTATTGAAAGACTTCTACTTTATTCCTCTACCGGTGACAACGTACAGTTTTGGATTTTCCCATCACTTTCAGTTCTGGTGACAGTGCTTACAAGGTTAAATCGAAGACAAAAAAAATATTTTTTGAATTAGATACAATTTAGAGTGAAAAGGGATGAAAACTAAACTGATAATGACATCTGTTCTTGTTTGTTGCAGTTCTTTGACCGGATTCTTCTCTTCGCTATGCCAGCTAAACACCAGCCAGATTTTATCTACCTGCGACATGTGCCTCTCAGAAAAGTCCATCTTTTCACCCTCATACAGCTGACCTGTCTGGTTTTACTTTGGGTTATTAAGGCATCTCCAGCTGCTATTGTTTTCCCAATGATGGTAAAAATACAAATTTTTTTATTTATGCTCTGAGAGAATAGACATTTGTTGCTGCCCCGTTCAAATCATTTAACATACTGCATCTTGACATGTCTTATATACATTTTACCATGCCTTTTTATCCATGGGCCTTTGTGTCAAGATGTCATTATCATAGGTGGTAGGTCTTCTTACATGTGCACTGTACATGAACCACAAACATGCAGATACCTTTGGAATTCTGTTAACAGGGGCTTTGGGGGTAGCATTTATACTTTAAGTTTATTTCAAACTATTAAGTATAGATACAATATAAGTAGATATAATAACTTCTAGCGCCAGCATTGGGTGAGGCTTTCACCTTGGCATGGCTCTTCATATGCCTCATATTTGTATGCACACTGTGAACATGCCATATGGCCATTAAAATATTTCCCAATGCTTAACAAGCTTCAAAAGAGCTCTCACTGACCTCTTTAGCTGCAGGTACTGTAATGATGAGTATTTCATCCTCAAAGTTCATAATAGATGCACTAAAGTCGCTGCCTAAGACAGTGTTTTTCAGAGTGTGGGGTGCATTGCCCTGGAGGGCATGATGGCACTGGGGGAGGGGGGCTCAGGATTTGGGGTACACACCACTGTAGGTGTCCTACTGTATGGTAGCTTAAAAAAGAAAGCTTCCAGGACATGCACACATTTTTAGTGCAGACCATGAAGAGCTGTCATTAAGAGCGAAGCCTCCCTCTGACCAGCAAGTAACCACTTGCTTCCATGTGCACCTGGGGGTCCATGCATTTATGTTCTAAACTCCTGGGTGGCTGCAGGTGTGCGGGTGTTTAGTTAGTGTGAGGGCTGAACTTTATGCTTTGCTGGAGTTTCCTCTGCTTGGGTAAGGGGCTGTGTTGTACAGTTAGTATATATTCTTTATGTGTGACTTTACTGATGGGAAGATTTGTATGTATTTGCAAGATTATCTTGTTGTTCTCCTCAGAGATATGTTACTATTGGATATATTGTTAGTGTAGAACACGTTAATGTGAACAGAAAGCTTACTCCATGTCAGTGTCAGTGATAGAGCTGTGCTGTTTTTGGGTTGAGAGTTTGTTGATGATGCTTGGTTGATGTTTATTAGTTTACCTCTGTTGATTTATAATCCGTTACTGTGCCTTTGAAAGTAGAAGTACAGTACACACCCCTTCAAGCAATGTAACTCAGCAGTCTTCTGTTCTCTACTGTAGATATAGAGCAGGTTCTATGGAAGGGGGGAGCAGGGGAAGCTTCTGCCATGAACTTTGTGGATGAATAGCCCCATACTGCTGCAGCTACAAAGGTCAGTGAGGGTTTGTTTCAAAAGCTTACTGCTTGTTAATAATAGCAACACACAAACAGCAACTCCATTGTGTAGGCAGGTGTCATTGTAGACCCATTGTTTGCAAATCATGACCTCAAATGGATTCATTTTTCACAGTGCTGCTGAATGAATTGCAAGGGTTACCAACATGATGTCCTCCCAATAGTTTAAAAAAAAAATGTACCTTTTAATACCAACATTATTCAAACGGTTTAACAGGTTCCTATAGGAACAGAAAAAAAATCACAGGAAGAATGAGTTGACCTGAATATCTTAGGTGTAACTGCTAATGTATTCTAAATAAATGTGATGCTATGATATGTAATATATGCTAAACAGAATTTGTGTCAGGAATATGCGCATTCTAAGCAGCTTGCTCTTATGTAAGCCTAAGATAGCTGATGTCAGTGATCGTTTGTGGGTTGGTTGCAGGTCCTTGCACTCGTGTTTGTCCGAAAAGTAATGGATTTCTGCTTCAGCAGCCGGGAGCTAAGCTGGCTTGATGACTTGATGCCAGAAAGCAAAAAGAAGAAATTGGAAGATGCCAAAAACAAGGCTAAAGAACTGGAGGTAATAGGGGAAAATGTGTGTTGAATTGCGGGCCACTTTTAGTTGTATTTCAAAAGGCAAGGTGGTGTGCAAAGGTGGTGTGCATAGTGTGTAGCAACTAGTCAGAGCTCTGTATGATCAGTGAAAGATTATTTTGATTGTTTGTAGCATGAGTTACTACACAATGCATGTTTGTCTATGCATTTTTGATACTATCAGTGATAATGTACTAGCATTCTGGTACTGTTGTATCATCATAATTAGGATAGGGTACCTTAAATAGCCACCCAGCATAACATAAGTTCCTTTAACATAAAAATTAATTATCTAAATACAGTATCTAAATACTTGCAAAATTTGCATACATTGCTGGAACTTTGTGCACCAGCTCTTGTTGAGTTTTGCTTTGATTGATAGATACTGGTTAGCAGTTTTATTATAGCTTTTTCATTTTGCCTGAGCGGTTATCAGTTTAAAGTGCATCTCTAGGCAAAAACCTTTTTTTAAGCTCTGAATTGAGTTAGAAAAGGGGAGGTTTAGACCCCCTGTCAATTTTTAATGCTGTTTGCATCCCCATTGGGGATTTTTACCCCTCTATTTGTACTGGTGGCCATTGTCACTGAGAAGAAAATCATGGCAAATTGCAAGCATGTCCCCAGAGCAAGATGTAAGAGGAAATCTTCCAATAGGTACACCTGTTCCAAGGACGACTGTGTAAGAGAATTCCCCCCACTTTGAGAGAGTTTCTCTAACTTCCGGTTGCTTCTTTGGGACAGGAAGTAAAGAGAACATTTTCCATAAAAAAACTGGCATGGGTTTTACCCATCCCTACTCTATCCAAAACTGTATCTATGTATACATTTTAATTATATAAGGGTAAATGAACCCACTTTTGTAAGTACATTGGTCTTCATATTGTAGTACTCATAGGAATATTAACATGGCTGTTATGATGTATCTGGCTTAACTTGTAGAGTCTGTGGGGTTGATTTACTGAACAAATTGAGGCTGGTGACTTAAGCTGGCCATACACTTTACAACCATCGCACGACTCAAGTCGTGCGATGGTTGTAAAGTAATTAAAAACTTGTACGATCTGCCCATCTTGGACAGGCAGATCGTCCTTGCGATCATCGAAAGCCCACCCCGCTGATGACTCCAATGCGCACAGCGGCCCGTGCGGCATTTGTCTCCCGAGAACGCCACTAACCCACTGACAGATTCTTGGCGGGTTTTCGAGCCTGCTTGGGAGACAAAAGATGTGCGACCGTACAGTAGAAACGGTCGCACGCCTTCCATACAGGGGATTTCCCGCGATTATCGTACGATAATCGGCAGGTGTATGGGCACCTTTATGGAAGTGAATATTAGTAAACCAGGTGAACCTTTGTTCTCTTTGAACACCTAGTTATGTGCTAGAAAAAATATTTGCTTAATTTCCTTGCATATGATTGGGTATTTAAAGTGAACACAGGTTTCTCTTATTTACTAATATAATAAGGAGGAGGCTCCTATTACACATATATGTATATTAGTGGAACACATTTTTTTCATACATGTATATCATAGAAGCGCAATATGCCTATCATCTTATGCTTTTCAACCAAACTTTTTATGGATAGTAACAAATGTGACTGTTCTCTATACAAAACAAGTAAGAACATGTCAACACTTTCTGTTCCACCTAATCAGATTTTGAACCCATACATTTTCTAGTTGTTTTGATTACGCCTACATGTTTGTAGTGTGTGACAATTAGTGTATGTGTGGCTTAACCCCTCCCATTTTATCTACTTTTGATGCTAAGCTCACATGATCAGTTCTCTTCCATTTGTCAGGCTGTAGGCTGGATGTGGCAATAGTTTACCATGGGTTCCTGTTTTTGCTTTTTTCAGTTTATAGCTAGAATGGCTGCATCTACTGCTGATCCACAGTGTGTAGATGTGTACCTGATATACTGGGGGAGGCAATAGTTAACACCATATAATTATCAGATAATGATCATACTTTGTTACACCCTACTTGTTCTGCCTGTTTAGTAGCATATGTCTGGCTTATAGCAATAAAAAGTGTCAAGTAATAAAACATAGTGTAAGTTATTACAAAAAGTGAATCAAATATGTATATTTAATCACCTATTACTGACTGTACTTCAAAACAACTTATAGATGATACAGTATATATTATGTTTTAAAGTGACACTAAACTCGAGAGTTAAATCTTAAAAATGCATTCAAGTACCTTCAGTATTAACAAAAATGTATCTTATTTGTGTATGACTCAGCTGTAGCTCCTCAAATCATCTCTGAATTGGTGCCGACACTGTCCTTCCTTCTGGAGGGTGGCTACTTTTGTTCCCCATGGTCCCTTTGTGTGTTGTAAAGTAGCCACCGCTCCAAGCACTCTCCAGTGATGGACTACAATCTCATGTTTAGTTTACTAATTTGTATTGAGATTGTAGTCCATCACAGGGGCGAGCTTGGAGTGGTGGCTACATTACAACACACACAGGGACCATGGGGAACAAAAGTAGTCACCCTCCAGAAGGAAGGACAGTGTCAGTATGAATTCAGAGATGATTTGAGGATTTACAACCGAGTGATACACAAATAAGATACATTTTTGTTAATGGTTAAGGTACATGAGGACACAACAGGAGGTTAGAAGAGAGGGGGGTTCAATCTTCGACTGTGAAAGAGGTTTTTTACTGTTCACATAGTAAAAATGTGGAACTTCCATCCACAGGCAGTGGTGTGCGCTGATAGCCTTGATAAATTCAAGAAACTTCTAGATGAGTTTCTTCTTTCACTACATATACAAGAATAAGGGAATGTTAGAGGCATATAGATAAAGACACACAAACACCAAAAACATAGGTTGAACTGGATGGACCTTTGTCTTTATTCAACATCACCCACTTTGTTACTATGGGGTCTATTCACTAAGCTGCTGTAGGCAGCCGAGTGAACGACCGCCCCGAAGCGAAGTGAGCCGAACGCTGTTCGGCTATTCACTTCAGGCTGGTACGGCTTTGGCCGACCCGAAGTGCAGAAGGAGTTCGACTCAGCCGATCCAACATCTGGATCGGCTAAGCCAAACCTCCGGCAGGCTACTCGCTGCTGTTCGGCCTATTCTTATAGATGCCGAACAGCAATGAATGAATAGCCGAATGCCGCTGAGCGACATTCGGCTCGGCTGTTCTGCTCGGTCCCTCTAAGGGACCGAGCAGAACAGAAAAATAGTTTAAAAAGTAGGGAAAAAAATAGAAAACAATTGTGCGGAGCTAGCAGTGACAGCTAGCTCCACCCAACTGTTTTCTATTGGCCGGCAATTCTGCTGCCGTAAAAAAAAAAAAAAACAAACATTTTCGCCATAGGAATGCATTGCTAGATTCCTATTGGCTATTTCAATTTGCAATAGCCAATAAAAAAACTAGCTATTGCACCCGCCCTCTGCTGCTGCCAATCACTAATGGGGACCTGATGGAGAACTGCAGCAGTGGGCGGGTGCAATAGCTAGTTTGCTATTGGCTATTGCAAATTGAAATAGCCAATAGGAATATAGCAATGCATTCCTATGGTGACATTTTTTCTTTCCTTTTTTTTCTGACGCCTGCCAACGGCTCCGTGTCAGAATAAAAAAAAAGCAATGTTTCTCTCCTGGGCGGCCGGGAGCGGGAGACTCCTGGAGCGCCCAAGAGAGTTAGGCTGTCTGGAGATCAGTGTGACCTCTCTGCAAGTGGCTGGAGCCAGCCATAAGATCACGGCTGGCTCCGCCCAGCTGTCAGAAGCAGGCTGTTGGCCGACCGCTTGGCCAGCTTCGGCTTTCACCTCCGCTCAGTCGAGCTGAAGCATATGCCTTCTGCTCGACTGAGCCGTCCGGCCGACTTTCGGGAGCTGTACGGGCTATAGTGAATAGCCCATACAGCAGCCCTTTGGGTCTGCTGAACCGAAGGGGTCCTGGGGCCGAAGCTAGCCGAAGGATCGGCCGAAGCTACGGCTAGATCCTTTGGCTGCTTCATGAATAGACCCCTATGTTATTTGAATGCATTTTTAAGATTTAACTCCTGAGTTTCCTGACCGTCATTTAAATATATGTTAAGTAAATGGAGTCTGTCGGGCTGATTCAGCCACTTGGCTTCCAGCCCACTTCTGAGTTTTAGTTCTTCTGATACAACAAAGGATGTCTCCACTATCCCAGGTGCACTCTCCATAGTATGAATTTACAATCCACCAGGTAAAGTGGGACTCTTGGTGGCATTGGTGGATGTGCAGGCCTGGGAACATGATAGCAAAGATCTTATCACCAAAGTTCCTTAGAAACATAAAAAAAACATGTTAGATGGTTTATTTCTACAGTTTCTACCAAAAACAGATATTTTGTGTGTATTGACCTTTAAATTGTATAACAGCAATCTTTAAAACTTTTTTGTAGGAGGCAGAGAAGATGCTGCAGGCAGGTGAAGACAAAGGGGTGCAGCTTCCTTTAGAGACCAGGAAATTACTGGGCAGCCCTGGGAGAAACAATAATTCCAGGTAAGTTCTACATCACCCGGTGTTGAGAGTTGTGTAGGTGACTTTGTAGGAAGCTATCTGTAAGTAGAGCTGCCTAATGCAGATGGGGCTCAGGCAGCCTCTTAACAACTGTCTAAACATACCTCAGAAATGTACTTCATTTACCAGCTGAGTCACTTTAACAATATACATTACTATGTAATCCTTGCATTGATATCCTGGTAACTGTTTTCTTGGATTTAAAGTTGGGTTTTAGTTAGACTAGACATTTGCCCTTGTTGTGAATGATTGGAGGAGCATTTAAAATATTATAGTCCACATATCCAGGGTGAACAACCCTCGGTTCTTTTACAGAGAGAGAGACTTTATTGAAAAATTTGGCCAGAGCATACACAAAAATGATCACAGGTATCAGAGTAAAAATATACAGTCCAAACTTAGTTTAATGCCCTAAACTATCATCCAACTGTTAAGTGATTCCTGTTGAATTGACTGAAATTCATGCCATGGGTGGCACTGTCAGCACTACCTAGCGTCATAAAATTTGATTGAAGAATTGCGGGAGTTGGGTGGACAAATGTTAGCCAAACACTGTTTGCAGCCAATCAGATTCAGTCACTGTATCAAAATGCCCTGTATCGGGCCCGATTCCGATGCTAGCATCGGTATCGGGACATCCCTAGTATGTGTGTTAAGACAGATGTTGGTGTTGGCATTCTGAATACAATAGCTGACAGGGGAGATTCCTCCATGTATGATGTTTAGCATGGATGGGGTAATCAAGGAATTACTCTTGCTCAGCCTGCGGGGAGAGACAGCTACACATGTATGGGCAGAGAAGGTGAAACTAATCTAGAGGAGATCAGATCAAAGATAGTTATAAAGGGTCGGAGTGTCTACTGTGGTATAAAAATTATATATCTTTATTGAAAATAGTTTTTAAACACGAGTCATCATCATAGACCTGAAACCTTCTAAAAAATGAAACCTTCTAAAAAATGATTTAAACAACCATTATCTCACTCGCTTCATACACACACTTGAGGACAAGCTGATTAGTTTTGAAGTATAAGTCGGTGGAGCTTTTGATGTCAGGTATTAAACTGACAACTTCCTTCATGCACTTGGAAACATTGTTGCGATCACCTCTGGAGTAAACACAGAATAGATTTCTCCACTGAGTGTATCTTGCTCAAGATGACAGAATTCCTTAAAGGAGAACTATGACGTGAGTGATTTCCACTCACGTCATAGTTCTAAGCCGACCTGTGACAATGAGACTGTCACAGGTCGGCTCAGTAGATCGGGAGGTGAGGGAAAACATACCGGGTTCCCTCACCTCTCGATCCTGTCACGGCTCTCTGCCGTGACAGGGGGAGGGGCTGGATTCCCCTCTCCCCGCTCCGATCTGCCAGCGCTGACTGGCGGAACGGACGGGGGAGGGGGCGGGTACAGCTGGCTCTGCCTCTAGATAGGCAGAGCCAGCTGTCACTCACGCAGCTGGGCGGATCCCGTCATCTAAGTCGGGATCCGCTCCAGGTGCGGCGTCTCAGTATACCGCGAGCTGTAGCTCGCGTTATACTGAGCTTAGGGTGACGGGAGGACGCTAGTTTGTGTCCTCCCGTTACCCCAAGGAGAACTATGGGGAAAAACACTGACCCCATAGTTCTCCTTTAAGTAGCTGATAGATATCAATAAGGAGTTTTGAATTCTTAATGTCTCAATAGATCAATTTGCACAATTTGTAACAAAGATCTCCTCGTGTAATCCCACATGTTATGTGTTCCACATGGGAGGTATGATAAATAATGTTGTAAGAGAGGGATGGTGTTACCCATCCAGGTTATCCGCCTGGGATTTAAACACCGTCCCGCACATCACGTTTTGGACCTTTGCCTCTTCGTGGTAATTGATATAAAGTTCACACAGGAAAATCTTCAAAAATGTGGCAAGTAACGCCAAAGACGAAAGTACTCACATATGTTGTTTTCAGAAGCCAATTTCTCTGAGGCTCTAGGTCAGGGGTGCCCACAATTTTTGTGTTAAGATCTACTTCTCAAATGACGAGCTACATGAGATCTACCAACGAAAAAAAAACCTCCATCGCTCTCTCTCTCCTGGCTGTCTCTACTTGTTCATCTTCCTGGCTGTCTCTCCCCTCTCTCTTTCCTGGCTGTCTCTCCTCGCTCTCTCTCCCCTGGCTGTCTCTCCTCTCTCTCCTAGCTGTCTTTCCTTGCTCGCTCTCTCCCTGCTGTCTCTCCTCGCTCTCTCTCCCCTAGCTGTCTCGCCTGGCTGTCTCTCCTAGCTGTCTTTCCTTGCTCGCTCTTTCCTGGCTGTCTCTCCTTGCTCACCTTGCTGTATTTTGCAAACAGTGCAGTGCAACAGTCTGTGTAAACTAATATTCTTTGATGTAATACATAGCACTCCAACCACCAGAAAGGTGTCAGTGAGCTTGGCTCAGCAGACTCAGGCTAATAGTTAATCATGTGTGCACAGCGAAATAAATATACCAAAATGGAATAAAGGGGCCGCCATTCACACCCTTCGTGATCTACCAGCATCAGCTTTGAGAGCTACTGGTAGATCACGATCTACCTAATGGGCACCCCTGCTCTAGGTTGTACACATCAAGCTATGCACTAGAGATGTTCTGATAACAGTGGCCTAAACAATGTTTCTCTTGAAGTTTAGAAGCAGCTTTTATCTATCTTGTTATATAACTAATGTCACTGTCATCCCCATGCCCCTCAGGAAACATTACTAAATGGTGATCACAATTATCAGATGGTTCGGGGCCAATAGTTCTTTGTCCAGAGGTGATTTTGAACACCCACCCAAGTTTAAGCTGTCTAGCGCAATGTCGTTTAGCCAATTTCATGATCAGAGTTCAATATATATTAGGTTCAGTTTAATATCTACATTTATATGGAATAAAAGTTATGCACGGGTCTGAGAATTATCCCCACAGTCCTTCATTTCAAAAGAAAACTCTGAAGCACAGTTCAGCAGTCAAAATAAACAGTTTTTGATAGAGAGTTTACCATACAGTTCAGTTTATACATTGCTGCAAGTTAACAGGTAGGATAAAAGAGTACTGGAGTACCGGCAGAGACTTAAGCTGGCCATATGAATTGTGTCTTATTCCTTGTGAATCTGTATGTTATATTTAGAAGGTGCCGAAATTGGATCTATAGGTGGTACCACCTGGCTTGGCAAAAGCCGATTGGAAAAAAAATGACTTTCTGTTACGCCAGGTGGTGTCGGCAGGAAGGAGCTGGTCATGCACGGCTTGAATTTAGTCTGAATTCTGCTTAATTTGCCAGAATTTGAGCCGTGGGTGGCCCTGCCAGCACGATCTGGCTCCACAAGAGCTAACTAATAAACTGAAGGATCCGGGTTAAAATTTGTCAGCCGAACAGTGACTGCAAACAGTCAGATGCAGTCACTGTTCAAGTATTCAAACAACTGCAGGTGTCAGCTTTCAGAATACAGTAGCCAGCAGGGGAGATTCCTCCATCCGTGCTCGTTGGTGTGGATGGGGGAATCAGGTGATGTTTCTCATTCAGCCTGCATAGCTGAATGTAAAAAATCTTTAGGTGTATGGTGACCTTATGGCTAGAACAACTACATGTCTCTGTAACTGTGAGATTTAATTGGTGTGTACAGTTATCTTATTAGCATCACATGTATTTCAGTGTGCTGCACATGAGATGAATGCTAGGAAGTGGTGAAGTCTGTAGGTAGCAGAGAGATCTGTGTAGCCATAGGCTTAACAGACAGCTTTCCACTGACGTTTCTACACAACATTATACAGAATTAGGGTTGCACAGATACCAAGTACAGTACTCGGTACAAGTACGAGTACATGTACCGATACTTTTGAGCTCCAAGACTAGACTAGAGAAAAATTCTAATTCAAATGTAAGGAGCACACGGAGCTCCTGGGATTTGTACATCTCTGTTTTAATGTATGATTTTGTTTTTAAAAATATAAATAAAGGGATGGACAGATACCAGTTTTGCGAGTACGAGTACTGGTACTTGCCGAGTACTTACAAGTACGAGTACTGATACATTTTTGTTTATTGCCATGTGACAGTTTTTTCTAAAACAATACAGACTAAGGATTTCAGGACAGTGGTGGGGCGCCAGAGCCCGGTCCCGGCTGCAACAGCTGCAACCCTGATAGTTCTCATGAAAATGCCAAGTATCTGCACTGGTACTCGAAAAGTATCTGTGCATCCCTATACAGAATTGTTCTGAACTGCTCTCAAGAAGAGTCAAGCACATAATGAACAGGCAGGCTGTGTGCAATGTGACTGCAGCTTAACCATATTGCTTGCTGCCCTTTAGGTGACTCTAGATCAGAGGCAGACAACCTTGAAATTCCAGCTGTGGTCAAACTGCAGATCCCATCATGCCTCTGCAAGTCATTCAGTGCCTCATGGGACTTGTAGTTTACTATTAATTACAGGTATTGATATAGCACTAACAATTTACACAGCGCTTTACATAGTGCACATTCACATCAGTCCCTGCCCTCAAGGAACTTACAATCTAAGATCCCTATCTCACACACATACAGGGCCAATTTAGACAGGAGCCAATTAATCTTCCAGCATGTCTTTTGGGGTGTGGGAGGAAACCGCAGTACCCGGAGGAAACCCATGCAAGCACAGGGAGAACATGCAGACTCCTTGCATTTAGTGTCCTGACTGGGATTGGAACCGCGGACCCCCAGTGTTGCAAGGCAGAAGTGCTAACCACTTAGCCACTGTGCTCAACAATTGCTGGTGTGCTGTTGCCTGCCCCTGTTCTAGCTCCTCATAGACTGCAGTTGATTTCTCTATCCCACCTCTTCTCTTAAGGTGCCCATACACCTTACAATTATCTGCAGATTTTCTGTGGTCAGATGGACAAAGTGCAACAGATTAGCCCAGGTGGAGGGCCATCTGACCACAGAAAATATGCAGATAATTGTAAGGTGTATGGCCAGCTTTAGCAGAGTATAAACCAATCAATTACAAATTGTGAAGAGCTGCGTGAACAGAGAAACAATGCTGACAGTAATGAATAATACACATCTATGGCACTAATGTTAAGCCTTATTAGTAATCTCTGAGTGTGTTCTAATTTTGCTTGCACTACGCCTTTTGCACTCTTACTTAAGAATGTGAACATCATTAGGTGTCGTTCTTAATGATGGTACATTTTCTTATCCATGTAGTTATGTATCTTCTTAGTAACCAATTATTTTGTATTCATTCCCACACCTGCTGTGATATAACATTCAGATCAGAGCTGGAGAGAGTTTGGTTAGGTGATGTGAGATCTTTTACTCATTCTTGTTTTTGTTTTAGATGTGATCCATCTGAAATAAATATCTCTGATGAAATGCCTAAAACTACTGTGTGGAAAGCTCTCAGTATGAACACTGAAAGTTCAAAAGCAAAGGATAGAAGGTAAGGGGAAATCATCTTTACATTATCTACAGGTGTTTAGGGGGTTTCATCTATTTGCTATGAGATGTATTACCATAATGCAGCCTATATTATGTAAATCAGTATTTTGGAGTTGAATGTAGCAGAGCTAATGAATGCTTTGTGGTTGGGTGTATTTTGTAAGTACCCATACTGCCTGCAGAGGTTAAACATTTTGTCATTATTTTGATGCCATGTCAAGAGGCTCAATATATGTGACTTGCCCAGTTATGAGGTTTACGATTTAACAAAAGAGCGACAACGTGGAAATGGAAGTTTGTGTTATCGCTGGCAGTGATTTTTCGGAACATTGAACAATAATTGACAGCTGCCCAGGACTGTTCCACTTCCACAGAAAACAAAGCTCTGAAATGCAACATTACTCACTATAGTTTAGGCAATGTTGTGATCACAGAAAAGGGGCAGCTTTGGTCCATTCATTACTACGTTTCTCCCCCATGGTCCCTGTGTGTGTTGTAAAGCAGCCAATGCTTCATGCTCACTCCTGTGATGGACTACAATCTCATGTTAAGTTTACTAATTTGTATTGAGATTGTAGTCTATCATGGGAACAAGCTTGGAGCGGTGGCTACTTTACAAACCATACAGGTACCATGGGGAACAAAAATAGCCACCCTCCAGAAGGAAGGACAGTGTCAGCACCAATTCAGAGATGGTTTGAGGATCTGAAAGCATTTTTAAGATGTATCTCCTGAGTTAAGAGTCACTTTAGGTAACCCATGGCTGTTGTGGAGCTGGAAGTCCCAACGTGTACTGCTAGGCTTTGGCTGACAGAACATCAAGCTTATAAAGGCAACAAAACCAATTACAGTATTTTTAGAGAAGTCAGAACAGTGAAAGATACATTCTTATTGCTGCTAGTTACTGCACATTTCCTATTCCCTTAGAGCAGGGGTAGCCAAACTGCTGCCCTCCAGCTGTGGTGGAACTACAAATCCCATGAGGCATTGCAAGGTTCTCACAGCCACAGACATGACTCCCGGAGAGAGATGCATCATGGGATTTGTAGTTTCACCACAGCTGGAGGGCAGCAGTTTGGCTACCCCTGCCTTAGAGTATATGCCTGTATGTTGCGATTTGCTACCCCACAATGGTAGCCTCCAGCTGGCAATAGATATTAAAAGTCGGCCAGAATTTCTGACTATTGATCAATCATTCCGTAGAATGAACATGGCAGTAAATATATGTGATTGTTGTCAATTGTGTGCATATTCATAGAGTAAGCAGCACCAGCCTTATCTCAAGGGAACAAGAACTGTCAGTTGGAAAAATCCATATGGAATATTCGACTCTAAACACAGGAATGGTTTAAGAAGAGAGTGTTTGCAAAGACGTTATAGTCCCCATAGAGTCATTTTCCAATCCAGCTATAATCCCCTTGTGACCCTAATTTCATGGCAGTAGGCATCTTAAAGGAAAGCTATGTCTTCTGCAAAGCTTGAAAACTTTCCCTAAATTGTATTTTCTGCAGGCAACTTTAGTGTATTTTCAGATTACCAGGGAGCACCGACCCCTGACCTGAGTTTACATTATAGTGCTCTCTCACCCTCCATGGCCATTGAGGCCAAACATCACTTTTGGTAGCCAATTGGTTTGCATGGGGCTTGGGCCTAAGCATGACTTTGCAAGCAGTGCTTGGGATGTGTATAATAGGGAGCCCTGGGTTTTTGGAACTCCAGCTGTGCAAAACATCTGAAGGCGCTTGCTGTACATACCAGGGGGCAGACTACTGTACACTCTTTTCAGAGGACACAGGCTTGCTCTAAACTGTATAAACTGTAAGTATGTCGTGTATTAAACTGGCTTGTGTTGTATTATGGGACAGAATTATGAAAACAAAATGAAGCTCAGGTATTAGCTTTTATTCTATAGCATACCTTTTCTCGAAAAATGGTCAAGAAATGTAACTCTTGTGTGGGTACAATCCCACTTTTCTTTGCTGCAAGTTTTATTCATTGTTGGACTGGAATACAAAAACATCATCATCGTAAAACGTTGTATGAGAATTCGTTTTTCAATGTTACTGATGTTACTTTTTAATATAACAGTCTATTCATCTTATCTTATTTTTTTACCTTCTGTTCTATTTGCCAGCATTTTTTAATAGGTGTCTTGGCGCGTGAAGGACTGTGCTTGATGGAAGATGACTCAGGGAAGGGCCAAGACCCAAAATGTGGCATACAGTTTTTATGGGATGTCCCCACGTTTTCTCCACATGAAGGATACATGTTAAAGCCATCAAAAATGTTATCTTGTATAAATATATATATTTTTTTTAATTTTCAGTGTGTGCTTTAACAAGCTGTTATTATTTGTGTGCCATCAGTGCACTTGTAACGAGGAAGTGTCCAACACAGCAATGCTGAACTGCAGCTTCAAACAGGTTCATTGAAGTAATTCCAAGGAGGATCTATGGAGTTTTACCTCATCGGGATATATTCCGCATTGAAGCAGATGTGTCTAGTTGATCAGTTCTAGTATTCACTAGCTACAACTGGATGAAGAATAGTGTCAGTAGACCTGTAGTCACAAATTCTGTTTTTTTGTGTGTAAATCATAGAGAAAACTATACTTTAAGATCCTTGTATCTGCCGGATGATAGTTAAGTCAATGTTTATGGAAGTAAGAGTTCAGCACCTCAGCTTTCCTAACAGTGACATAAATTAGAGATATCACATGGCATGTTGACTGATCTTAGTTCAAGCACACTCCTCCATATTGTAAAAATGTCTATAGTAGATAACTCTAAAGTGGTGGATGCTTAGATTTTAGAAATGGTTGAATTGGTTAAATCCACACAAACTAAAAAATCAGCACTTTGCTTATAACGTGAGGTGCATGCAGAGAATCGGTTACCGCTGCAATTGGACTAAAGGGTAAACAAAACGTTTTCTACCCCTTCACAACATAAGAATAGATATTGGGTCTTGTGGGGAGAAACTCAGAGACTCTCTAGCCCTTTAAAAATAAACCCAAACATGATATGTTAATTTATACCGGTTTATGGGGGTGGGGGAGTTTCTTTGATAATTCTAGCCAATGCATGTATTTAATTTTTGGCTGTGTGTGGAATTAGCCCTTTTAAGTGCCCTATAGATCCAGGCCCAGGAGATAATCTGTAGATTCAGTAAAAACATTTGCAGTGTTAATGTGACCCTTGTTTTACAAATGATGGTAACTCAGCTGTAGATGGGTTTTCTGAACTGAATTACAATTGTATAGGATATGAGTGATCATCTGCAATTTTTGTTGTTGAGCCTAGACTATGTTTGAAAATGTAATTGCGCAATAAGCCACCTCTCATTACAAATATATCTAGGTATTTTTTTTATTGCTCCTTATTGGAAAGCAATATACTTTCAGTGGTGTACACTTTCAAAATAAAGTGTTTTTTATTCACTGTATTTTCATTTACAAGGCAATAACAGTAAAACTATGAGTGTGATGTTTTGTACACCTTATCCTGTATGCCGCCTTTTGGAGACCATTTAAGTTTCATAAAATTTTCTTGTTTAGATGACTTTTACAGCTGGGCACATATTATGGGTTTTCTGTAAATATGCATATTACCAGCATCAATGGAGGAGAATCTAGCCAGGAATGAAACTATATATAATCTAACCTGTTTGTCTATGGCACATGCTTAAGTGATTACTGTGTGGTAATAGACCTTGTAAAATGAAAATCCAGCATATTGTATCTCTGTGGGCGAATATGAAGCTAAATCTTAGGCTAATGTGGCAGGTGTTTAGTACCCACACACAAGTTTGTGACTTCAATTACGGTGAAATATATCCTTTTTTTGTATTACATATTATGATATCATTGCTTTTTCACTGTATAATTTCTGTACGCAATAAGGGTTTTACATACTTGGAGTTATCATTAAATCAAGCTTAGGCAATTAAAGTCATTCCTGAGTAGCCAGAGATAGTGACTAGTTGAGCAAACTAGGAAGAACTATGGGTTTCTGGATTGAATTCATTGTGTAAACCTGAAGCGAGTCATGTGTTTGTTTTGATTGGCTCCAGTATTTTAGGCCACACTTACACCGTGTTTTTCTGCCATTTTGTGCTCTGCTTATAGCTCCACCCCTTTTACAACAATAGTGCACCAATGTATGACCAAATTGATTACCCCTTTTAGAAACTGGCTCTGCATTTTCACCATTGGCGGAAGAGACTTCAATAGTCTACCTGCACAGTGCATGAGAGCCAATGATATGACATGCCTGTGCAAGGGGACACGTAGTTAACTTTCCTTTCTTCCAGCTACTCAGTTACATATGCAAGACATATTAGAGACACGAGAAGAGAACTTTGTCTCTGCTTTCACATAGTGGTCACCACCTGAGAAGAGATTCTCACCTAGCTCAAAAATTCTTTTGGATTCCAGTGGAATGTATTGCCCATTTTTAATGTTCAATGGTTCACATAACAATAACTTTTCCTGTACTCCAGCAAACCTGCACTAAAACTGGAGCATGTATTACTTTTTAGTGCACCTTAGCACTTATGCTGTAGTGCAGTAATGGGTATTTTCAAAATGAATACCACATATAGTGTATTGCTACTACAGCATTATTAATGCACTGGGGGGACAGATCCTAAGAAGACAAATACTGTCTGAAACTCACTATGTGGAACAGGAGACAGCACACAAACATTGCTATTTTAGGGCCTGTATCGGGTGTGAACCAAATGCGTTTGAAATCTGCACATTGCACCACTTCTTTTCAGCATGCACCGTCGGCTCTGCGGTAGTGCACGCTGCTGGCTTGAACTGAGCCCTTAAACAAGACTGAGCATACAAGGCACTTCCAACACTGGAACACCTCTACCTATATCACAAGTAAGGCAAATACAAAAATCAGCACTAACAAAATAAAAAAACTTAACACTGATATGTGGAGCTTTATTAAAACCCAAAATAAAGCATTTTTTATTGTACACACCCTTAATAATTTGATGATTTTCCAGCATATTACTCTGTATTTTCAGGATATAGGCCATTTATTAGCCCTGCTCTGGCCCTGTTACAAGGACATGGCCATTTATTTGATTTTCTTATTGTTTACGTTTATCAGAATTTTAAAATATTGGGCTTGGCTCATCTCAGTGTTAGCAGCCCAGCATACCAGGAGCTTATCAGCCATAAAAAATAGGTGGGTTGCTAATACTGACCTTCTCCGTGCCACTGATGTCCTAGGAGGTGAACTGGGAGTTCATATGCCCCTATGCCTGCCCCTAGTGAATCTGCCTCAAGTTAAGTTGAAATAAATCATGTGGGCAAAAGTTCACAAAAATACTTGTTATAAAAAAAAGGGAAATCCGTTAAACCCCCCCCCCCATTGCATGTGCACCAATCTATCACAAGTAATAAAGAATAATTACAAGGGGTCTTCTCTTCACTCCATGAAAGTAGCTAAACCGAAAACTGACTATTATACAAAGCTGTTGTAACACCTGGAGCATGTGCAACGAAGTCTACTAAATCAAATAAATACCATGTTTGTTAGGTACACATAAGATGACAATCAGCCCTTCTGGTTGTATAAGGAATCGATTTTATGTCTTTGAGTGCCTGAAAAACACTTCCTGCTGACAATTCATGCGGGTGTTGGCGGGGGAGAACAAATGGGCATCTTAGAAAACCTTGTCTGGTCACTCGTTACTCAGTGATAAGCTGCAGTGAAGGTTTCCGTGTCTGTCTTCCTTGTCATAATGAGCCTGATAAAGGTGGACCCTGCGTGGCCTCAAAACGTCGCCATCATTGTGACAACGTGTCAATAAACGACATTTATTTGACCTGTTCCTCTGCTGTGCTGGTGACATCTTGCTTCTTCATTGATTTCAGCTGCACCATCCACAATCATTTTAGCACCCACCTCCAGAGGGTTCCAGTAAGCAGTGCAGTGGGATACTTATTAGCATTCCTTGCCCCTCACCATCATTCATCATTTACATTAATGCTATAGTTGTGCAATACTGTTTTTTGAGGGCAGCCAGATCATACCTGCATATTGACCTACCTACTAGTGTATATGTGCACCTTAATTATAATTGGTATCAAACGTTTGGCCTCAGTCAATAAAAATTATTATTTTTTTAACTGAATTTCTAATCCATTTATACATTAAATTGCAATTAAATAAAGCCATTGCCAGCCTTATTTAATAACAATTCTTTCGTTTTTACTGTGATTGTAATCAGTGTAGGAATTACAGATTGTCACAGTTCTATTAAGTGAACTAAATTTAGGTTATTGCTTCAATGTTTACTTCAAAGTCATTTTTATGTGACTTTTACATGCTTGTTTTCCACATTTTTCTTAATAACTGAAGAGTTTTGCAGAGTAGCCACTAGAGGGAGGCTAGAGTAGTCCCTTTAATCGCGCTGCATTCGGTCTCTGAGATGAGTCACACAGAAAGTGCATTGGTTTTAATGCGTAGGCAAGCTGAAAGCCTTGCATAGTGAAAAGGACCAGTAAATCACAATCACTGTGCACAACCACTTAGGGAGTGTAAGCGCTGTAGATCGTAGCAGTGGAAGGCATTGAACTGCTGGAAAGCCGGGGCCACTGCTTGTGTGTGAGTGCTACTCTCCAATGTGCTGTCAGAATAGTCTATTTTAACCCTTGCTGCAACAAATAGCAATCTAAAAGAGGAGCATATTTGTATGCAGCCCGACAGCATTGCAGTAATAAATACAGAAAGTTAAATTGGGCTTTAACTAAAGAGTCCCCTTTGCTTTACACTTGCACTGTCCTAACTGACAGAATTTACATTAATCTTTAGCTCCTAACATGGTCAAATTAATGCTAATTTCACTGCTTTACTGAATTCCAAATGGTGCTAATTCGTAAGTCATTAGCGAAGCAACTTAAAAAAGTGATGCAAGTCACAAAATATATGTGAAGTCACAAAATATATGCCAGCAGAGAAATGGGAGTAAGTATCTGTTTAGCGCTTGTCATTAAGCAGTAACACAAGTTGGGAATTAAATAAAGGCTAAGGAGTTTTTAATAAATAAGGCTGTTTATGATCTGCTCCTGTTAAAGAAATGATGATTAACCTAAACAAATCCTTAAAATGAGCTGCTGATAAACCTAAACAAATCCCAAAGTGAGCTGGCCGTACATGGGCAAGGCACAAACTAACCCTATCCTTACAGGTTGTATGCCCAAATTATGCTATAGATGCTGCAGTAGACGGGAATATTTGTTTGTCCATTTGAAAGATTCATCTTTGCAGATCTTTGTAAAATCCTATTTTGTTATTCAGAAAATATAAATCACCACTATTTGAAATGTATTTTAAATTGCATTTGATGTAACCAGTTTCACACAGCTATCACAATGACCACAGAGCTCTCCCATTTCGTGCAATAGTTCACATTAATGTCATCATCTAAGAATAATGATTTACAGTCTCTACCAGTTTTTTGGTTATTTTTGCCAATTTTTACACAGTATCCTGAAAGAGCATCAAAGCTTCATGATGTTCATAAAAAAAATTGTTCCCA